ACCTTAAAAAAAACTAGACTATAACAGGTTCTTCTTAACAAACTTAAGAAATTGGACCCGTATACCCACATTATAATATTATTTATATACAATAAAGCTTGAGTTGTCTCTCTAGAGCAATTGGTTAAACGCCCCAGCTTTATGGATAATATTCAGCTAGCCTGATAAAGGTGATTATACTATACAATAAAGCTTGAGTTGTCCCTCTAAGGTAATTGGTTAAATGCCCTGGCTTTATGGATAAGATTCAGCTAACCTGAAAAAGATATTTACATATTGAGTTGTTCCTCTAGAGCAATTGGTTAAACGCCCTGGCTTTATGGATTCAACTAGCCAGACAATGGCAAATTTAAATAAGGAGTTTCGGTAAAAATGGACTAAGGGAGTTAAGGAACACCTGTTATAGTCAATTTCACATGAGCACTCAAGAATCTCATTTTTAGACTGATATTTTTGCACTACCTTTGTTAGAGGAGCTTACAAAACTTGAACAAATGGAAGATTTCAGAGAACTGAAACAGAAATATCCTAATAGCTCTAGCCATTGATTATGCTAGTTGTGTCATTTTGGTCGCCTCCGATCGAAATGTCAAATCAAGAAAGAGTGGCATGCCATGATCTTCGCAATGACCGAATCGATGAAATAAACCTTAATTTAAATAACCCACCTCTAAACAAACTTTTAAGTCTTGATATTTGTCAAAGATTTGCAGCTATCAAAGCTTAAAAGAGAATTTGATTCTTTTGATATCCAATAAACTCTTGTTTTATGATTTGCTTCAATTGTGAAGCATAGAATGAGGCAATATTTTTCAAAACTCCTTTTGATATTTTTCAAAATTTTGAAAATTCAAAGGAAGAAAAGCATTTTCAAACAAGATAAGTTATCTGGAAGCATATCTTAGGTTGAGGTTTGCAAGAGTACACCCCGATGGAAATGAAGACAAACTAAGAGAATGCAGACTGCTCATGCAATTATTCCCTTCACATATCAACATTCTGTACATCGGATTTAAACATTTGAAGATTTTAAAATCAGGGATCAGAACTTCAAGATTCCATAATCAAGATTCCAGACATCCAACCAAAGATTGAGATTTCTCTCCAAACCCTAAAATAACATGTTTTACATATACATTTTAGGCATACATAGCAGCATCGCATCTATAGCATCGCATATGTGCATAATTTTACAGATTCATGCTAGAGTCAATTTCAACATCACAACGAAAGATGTTGAACTCAAAAGAAGGGCAATTTACAAGTGCATATATGAACTTCACAACGAAGAACATCCAATTAAAAGCTCAATTTCACAGCGAATGGGTCATCCACGATTTTAACTTCACGAAAAATGATATCGTGCCCGATGAAGTGATTTAGTGTCACAACAAACATGCCATCCACAGATTTGACTTCCTTAAGTCAATGATTAAAGCTTCCGAAAGGATTTCTTTAACATGCATGAACAAGCAGATTATCGATCACCTTTGAGACGGTTTCCCTTAAAACAAATTTTGTCTCTATTGAGACAGTTTCCCTTGAAACAAAATCTTTGAATCTGTTTTCCTTGAAACAAATTTCGTCTCCCTTGAGACATTTCTTTTAAAACAAATTTTGTCTCTCTTGAGACAATTTCCCTTGAAACAAAATCTTTGAATCTATTTCCCTTGAAACAAATTTTGTCTCTCTTGAGACGGTTTCCCTTGAAACAAAATCTTTGAATCTATTTTCCTTGAAACAAATTTCATCTCCCTTGAGACAGTTTCTTTTAAAACAAATTTTGTCTCTCTTGAGACATTTTCTCTTAAAATTTTTGTATCTCTTGAGACATTTTCCCTTGAAACAAAATCTTTGAATCTATTTCCCTTGAAACAAATTTTGAGACAGTTTCCCTTGAAACAAAATATTTTAATATGTTTTCCTTTAAACAAATTTCGTCTCTTTCGAGACAGTTTCTCTTGAAAAAAATTTGTCTCCCTTGAGACAATTTCTCTTGAAACACTAACTCTTGAGATAATTCTCCCTTGAAACAAGAAATTTTATCTCACTTGAGAGAGCTTTTCTTAAAATATATTTCTTATTCATTCTCATCCATATGTTGAATATTTGACAGGAATTCCAAATTTAGCAGCGATTTCATTACACAATTCCATGTTGAAGTAGAAGATTTCAGCAAGGAATCCACGGTTTCACCTTCACGACGAAGGATTTCGTGCTCAAAATTTTCCAGTTTTGACTTAACCTCACGATGAGGGAGTCATTACGTGATTTAAATTGACAAACCAATCTTAATATCGGGTTTCAACTCTACAACAAAGGACGTTCGATATGGACAAAATTTGTATCTTTAAGTCTTTGCTCCATTTTCGTTACATGATAATGAGCAAAGAGGGGCAGCTGAAGACACCAAATTTGTCCTTTGATATTATATAATACATCATAGATTATATTATATAATTGTATTGCACATGTCGTACACACATTTACATATATTTGTTTACATTTTATCATGCCCAAAACCAGATCCCACGGGGCCTAGCAAGACACTCTGGTCCAACCCAGACCCAACACACGTGATTCGCTGGAGTGCAACCCACCACATAGAGGATTAGGGTTTCCTGAAACCCTAACTCTCCCCACTATTACCCCAGCTGCCAACAACAGTGACTGTTGGATCTAGATGAGATCCAACAGTCCATAGCAAATGACACATAGGGTTATTCGAACCATAGCCAAGCATCTCAGTGCCGCATGGTCAACAGCCCACTCCCACGGTTGCACGTCTCGCCCCAACAACCCGCAATCATCGCCATTTTCCTCAGCCAGCACAACAAGCAGAGCAAAGTGTTAATTCAAAATAGGACTTCAAAAAACAAAAACCAACCGAGTTTTACTCGGAATCAACCTCTAAAGATAGGTTTTTTTTATACTATAAATAAACATACACAATATCACGTAAGGGTACACACGAAAATACTCGAAAAAAACATAAGGCAAGTCAGAGTTATTGTACACGATTTGAAAGGGAATAAGAAAAAGGTAGAAATTTTTACCTTATTTGCTCGTTTATCACTCTTGCATGTTGTCCTTCTTTTGAGATTTACTCGAAAACCCCTAAAAAACATGGTTTTTCACCGATGATATGGAAAGAGGCTACGAGATCTATTTTTTAGATCTAGCCCTCCCAAGGCGAGTTTTTAGAAAACCAAGTCCGGATTTTGAAAGATCGAAAAAGAAAGCTTTGAAAAACAAAAAAAATCATTTTTATCGTCGATGACCGGCGGTCGACACCGATCAACGGCGACGGCGAGGCGGCGGGCCACCGGTTTCTGGAAAACACGGTGGCCATTCTTCATGTTCTTGAAGAACATAAGAACAATAAGAGAGAAAATAAGATGGGGAGGGGGCATTCGTTTGAGTAAAGGAAGAAATGAGAAAATTAAAACACTTTTGGGTTTTATATTAACCCGTTTGGACCGTGACCTGGCCCACCATACCAACAAGATCCGTGTGTTTCTGTTTAAAATAGGGTAAACTACCCATTTGATCCCTCGTATTTCTCTCATATTTATTCTGCCCCCTAAATCTGGTTTTCCACGTTAATTTGCTTCCAATTTGGCCACCCGGTTAATGTTCATTTCAATCTAGTCCTTTTATTATTTTTACTCTATTTATTTCTTTTATTTTTTATTAATATCATTATTATCTTTCTTTTTATCGTACTTATTTATATATGTATATAGTTCTCTATTATTTTTGTTTATTTATATATGTACCTCTATTTTGTTTTTACATAGTATTTATCATTATTATTATTTTTTTTTTTTAGATACCATATATTGTTATATATATTATTTTCTTTATTTTTTTTCTTTTTTTTTTCTTGTTTTATTTTAGTTTCATTTTTAATATTATTTTTATTTTTATTTTCATTTTTATATTTTTCTTTGTCATATTTTTACTTATGTTACCATTGTACATATTTTGCTTATTTTATTTCTACTACATTATTATTTTTTTCTTCTTTTTTGTTTTGCTTATCATTCGTATATGTACATACTTTTTATCTTAATTCGACTCTGAACTTGACTATAAATCTAATGTCACTATCTTTTTAAGGGTTATCGTTCAAACCAGTTAGAGGTAAGTAATTTGGATCAACTTTTACCTTTTAATTTAAAGTTGTGATTTTCTTAATTAAAGACAACTGGAAATTACGTAGTACCGAAAGGCAGTTCAATAGTGCTAACCCTTCCTTGACTGTAACCGACTCTCCAATCCGACATATCATTGGTAAGACGCAGATCAGGTAAGAATTAAGGTATCCAGTCAACCAATTTATTTGCAAATAAATGATCGGTGGCGACTCCTAATCCATTTTCCTAAGTCGAAGCCCAATTCCGGGCCCACCCGAAAGACGGTTCCGACAATAACACTGTGAAATCAAAAGAAATCCTAAAAAAACTTGATTTTAGGATAATTTTGAGGGGTTCACGTAAATTGAAGGAAAATTTTAAAGAGAAATTTTAAGTATTTCATAATTAATAAAAATATATGTCGTTTTATGAAACTGTTAATTATTTCATAGGAGATTAAATAAAATATGAGCAATTTGAAAGTTCAATGATCAAATTAAAATATGTTAAATTTAAGTGATCAAAATAATAACATGAGCAAATTTGAGTGATGGAAAGCATAGCTTATCATTAATAAAAAGCAAAATGGAATTGAATCGAATATTTTTAATTTTAATTTTGATAATATTGTGGATATTTCGATTTGGATAACTTATTATTCTGGAAAATTTATTCATAGTCCATCGAAGGATTCAATTAGGCCCAATGATCATGGCCAGGTCGAGTATTGACAAAGAAACCAGACCCATCCCAAACTAGCTCAGTCCACACTTGGGTCTTTGGACCAGTTCTCGCTGTAGTCTGTAGAGTATCAAAGACCGGTACTGGAACTGGTAACCGGACAGAGTCTCTCTCTCTCTTTGCCTATGTTATCTGAAAAACAACCAAAGGGAGCGAAACACAATCTCTTTGGGTCACCCTGGTTGCATTGTCATACGAGAATTCTAAGCATCAATGGCACACCTTCTGTCGCTCCATGTATTTCTTTCTTCACATACACGGGAAACTTCTTCCAAGCCGTCGAAACTTTCCAAGAGAACTAGCAAGTTTAACACATCCATTTCAACAGCTAAAAAAGGTAGCTTATAGCTGTTTCTTCCCAGAACCGTAAGAAATTGGAAGTTTTTTCAAGACCCAAAGAAGGGAAAACGAAAGACTGAAAGCACCCAACTTTTAATGTTGGCTAGCTAGCTATATTGGAACTCAAGTTCAGTCTTTTGTAGAATATTTAGTTGCAATTCTAGCTGATGTAGGATAATTTGTTTTACATCTATATTAATGTGAAGTTTTCTTCTTTTTGTTTTGGTTTCGCTTAGTCTTATGTTGCGTTTTGATTATGTGACAATTCAGTTCTTCTCAGTCCCTCTCACAAAACCCAGAAGCTGAATTTGGAGGTTTCTCCTCATAGAGCTGGTAATATCACCTTTTTATTTCCTTTCTAATGCAATTCTTTTTCATTTTGTTAAATATTAAGGTGGAATAAATAATGGTTGAAATTTTGATTACAGTGGATGCATTCATCACTTCATGCCCTTTTAACATTTGATTCTACAAGTAGAGATGTGTTATTTTCCCATCAAAATATATCATATCCTACTCTTGTCCTTTTGTGATTGAATCTAAAGTCAAGGCTGTACCAGATTCAGAGTTAGAAATTAAAAGTATGATATTCTTATGAATGGCTGGAATGTATCGTTGTTTTTCTTATGTGGATTTCTTTTGATCATGCAGTATCTGCTGTGAGGCTGATGAGAATCCAGTTTGGTGGTGCATTTGCTGACCTTTTAAATGAGAAAGGAAAGGGTTCCGGTGATAATGAGATGGGATATGTGGAAAGAACTCTTGGTTTTCGTCCCCGTGATTTAGATGATCGAGATCTTAGATTGGTCATCCTTCTTTTGCCTTTCCTTCCTTTCATATGTTTAAGATGATCTATTGTTTCATCCCAATGTTAATATAGGCAGTCATCAAGATATTTTTAGGAGTGTTTACATCTATGTCACCCTAAAGTTTGAAGTATTATAACCAGGCTGCGTATTTTGTTTCCTCATTTGTAATAATGTTTAGGGATGCTTCTTTTAAGTGCTTAACAGATTAATTTAAATAACTCATAGTGGCATTATGTTTGGAATGTCGTAGGTTACAGATATCGTTGGCGGTACCATTCGCTGGAGGAGATATCTTGATCATTTAATTGGATAATTATGCCATGATGAAAGTACGTTTAGAAACATGGAACCACTTCTGTTACAGGTAATTTTTCTTCAGATACTTTGTATGGTTTTGTTCATACTACTGGTTTGTAAAATATGTGGATATTCTATTTGTGGCATTCTTAAGTATACAAATGGCATATGCAATGTGGAAACTTCGATATGTTTGTCTTTTCCCATCTGAACGACTCTGGCTTCTATCATATGAAACAAGGGCGAATCATGTTGGAATGTTGGAACATGAATTTTTTTATCTTTCTCGTCTATGCTTTTAGTTTCTCCGAATTGGTTTCTACGAGATTGTCAAGCTTAATATGCCACTATATGCTGTTGTAGATGAGGTAGAATCTGTTCATCAATTTTTTATAACATTTGTCAACTTAGATTTGACCTGAGATAAGATCATGGCCTAAAATCAATTTTTTTCCTTGTCGACTTTGTAATGTATAAATGCAGAATGTAAAACTTGCAAAGGTTGCTCTTCGACCCGGTGCTGGTAGCCTGGTCAATGGATTCTCCGGAAGTTAGTTTCAGTTAAGGTTTGCAACTTTCTGTTTATGTTATGGAAACAATGAGCAATCCTTGTGTTTTTATGTCTTTTTCACTTCGGCTTTGTAGGAAAATAACTCCCTTCCTCTACCCAAATTGGAAGGTGACGACCGTGCACAAGCACGCGCTCTTGCTACTCTTTATTCTCATCCTGTAGTAAGTCTGTGAATCTGTGATTGTAAAGCTCTACTTGTCGTTCTTTTACAAATATATATGAGGGTGTGGGATGCCAGTTCTATAATCCTGATTGGCAACTTAATCTTACCATATATCCTTCAACCTGCTCAATGAATCCTGTTAGGATGTATGTGCTCCACCAAACTGCCTGCTGTTTCTTTCTCTCCGGATCAGATAAATATATGCATTCCAAGATGGTGTTCTAATCCCTTTCTCTGATCCATTGGATTCCAGATTTTTTCTGTAAAAAATCTTCCCCTGCTTCCAGCAACATCCCATACTGGTCACTCAGCACCCTTTCCTTTTCTAACAGCGCAACTCTAGGGACTGCCGCAAGTGTGTTCAGCTGCACAGCCTTTAGCTCCTTTTTCTTATCCTGCACCCTCCTAGTTGTTTCACCATAACAGGAGAGATTGAATTGTCTAAAGATTTTTCTTCAATCTCCTAGTTCAACCCTCTCACAGTCCATACTAAATTCCTCATGGAGAGGATGAGAAAGGGTTACCTCCGACTCCAGGGGTAGACATAACTACCTTGCTGCCTTTCTTCACCTTGTCAAGCTGTTGTTTCTTCTTTCTTCAAATCCTTCATCATGTCTGTTACCTTGCTGCTTAGGGACAACTAAGTCAGCTTATGTTGTACATATAGAGGGGACCTGAGGGATAGAGCCTAATGCACTCCAATATAGTTAAGCCCTAGTTTAGTGTATAATTTTGATAAGAGTTTCAGGCCTCGTTAAAAACCCCCTTCTTGATTAATGGAGTTTATATGAACTCCTTAATCAGTGGAAGGAGGAAAAGAGCGCCTTAGGATTTTATTGAACCATAAAATTACATAAGATACAACCATCGTACACCCCACCAACCAAATAAACTTGAAACAACCATAAAACACCCGAAATATAAGACTAGAATAGAATCAGCCAATTCCTTCTTTAGCTAAGGCATCAGCCTCTAGATTGGCTGACCTATTAACCCATCTTACAACACCTTCTAAAACATTAAGCCTATGAACAATATCTTTGATCAAAAACACATAAACATCAGGAACTAGATCCTCTTTCTTAATCCAGTCTACCGCAACTTTGCTGTCGCTTTCAATAATCAGACGACCCTTCCTGTCTCGTAAATTCGCATAGAACATTAGACTCTTTTGAATAGCTTTTAATTCCATAAAAGTTGGAGCTCCCGGACCGGCAGATTCCTTGAAAGAACTTAAAGTTGAACCCGAGGAGTCCTTTAGAACACCTCCTATCCCACTCTTCTTCCAATCTCTTGTAGTAGTTGCATCAACATTTAACTTTACAAAACCTTGAGGAGGAGGAGACCAAGGAAATATAGATACAAGCCGATTAGGATACAGAGAGCACAAATCCCCTAATGAAGGGTCTGAAATAAGAGAATCCTTAGGAATAAACACCTCTTTGTACTTAGCAAGGAACCAAGAAGCTAGTCTAAACCTTGCTAGGAAAAAATATTCAGCCAAATCCAGCTTTCCCCCTTCAAACACAATGAGATGCCTTACTTTCCAAGTAGTCCAAATAACTGCCCCAGGAATAAAAGACCAAATTATAGAAGAAGACTTTAACTCAGCCCAAGCAAGTAGGATTTTTTTCGCATTAAAATGCAAAACAGCCTTAATCTTCCAGAAATTCAGAAATTTGTTCCAAATCATCCACACCACCGAACACGTGAAAAACAAGTGCGATGGAGACTCCACCTCTCTCTTACAAAGAGGGCACCTAATGTCTACAATTCCTTGAATTCCCCTTTTAACAAGTTCTGACCTAACAGCCAGCTTCCCTAACACCACCTTCCAAATAAAGGACTCCACTCTAGGTGGAATCTGGCCCCTCCAAATAATCTTCTTCCAGAAATATACCTCTTCCGAATCCGAAATAATGGTTGAACAAATCTTAGTGCCATATTTAACAGTATATACCCCATCTCCAGTACCTTTCCACATCACCCCATCACATAACTCCGTAGATAGAGAAACAGAGGAGATAGCATTCATCAAGTTAACCCACTCTTCTACTTCCCAGTCGTTTAAATTTCTTCTAAACTGCACATCCCAACTCCATCCATATGAGCTGTAATTCCCAAATTCAACCAGTTTGCCCATTCAGTTTGTGGAAATGGAGAACAATCGAGGGAAAATAATTAGAAGAGGAAAGTCCAACGCCCAATTATCCTGCCAGAACCTAATTAATCTGCCATCCCAACTCGGAAAGAATACAAACTTCTAAACTTAGAGCCAATACTGTCTTCTTTAAAGTGATTCGAAACCACCAATCTCCAAATCCAAGATACTCTTTGTGGAACTTTGTTGTCAAACATTAACCAAGATGGATCCATTTTGTATTTAGAACAAATGAATTCCCTCCAAACAGACCCCCTTTCATTAGCATACCTCCAATACCATTTTGCTAGAAGAGCTCTGTTCATGAAACCAAGGTTTCTAACACCTAAACCCCCCTCGAATTTTGACTTGCACACATTCGGCCAGTTAACCCAATGTATCTTATTTTTACCTACTCCCCCACCCCATAAGAAATTCGCCATAATGGAGTTGAGAGATTTAAGAACCGTAGCTGGTATCTTAAATAAGGATAAATAATACGTCGGGAGCGAACATAGAACCTACTTTATTAAAACCAACCTTCCTGCTAATGACAGTGAAGCAACCTTCCACCCCGCTAATTTATTCATAAAATTATTCACCACCGGATTCCAAAGTGCTGTAGAGTTCCTAGTAGCACCCAAAGGCAGTCCTAAATATTCAGAGGGAAAACTACCCACAGAACATCCGATAGAGTTAGCCCACTGCTGAACTTCTTCCTCATTCATATTCACACCAAACAGTTTACTTTTCTTCAAGTTGAGTTGTAAACCAGAAACCACTTGAAACACTGTAAGCACCCTCTTCACATTTAAAATCTGCGTCTTGGATGCACCACAAAACATAATGAGATCATCCGCGAACTGTAGATGAGATAGTTTTAAAGCGTCAGCACTCCTTCCTAAAACCAGTCCAGAAAACAGACCCTGTTCCACAGCCTTCACAATTAGCAGATTGAGAAGTTTTCCAATAAAATTAAACAACAGAGGTGATAGAGAGCACCCATGTCTAAGACCTTTAGCCATTGCAAATTCCTCAGTAGGAGCTCCATTCACTAAAACAGAAACTGAAGCTGTGGTTACACACTTTCTGATCCAACCTGTCCACCTGGAACCAAATCCCATTTTCTCCATTACTAGAAACAAAATGTCCCACTCCACCGAATCATACGCTTTCTTGAAATCTACCTTGAGAACACAACCTTTAGGGTGCGTTTGGTTCACGGAATGTAAGATTACCAGTGGGAATAAAAGATTACCAGGGAATAGGATTACTGGGAATGTTGTATTTTGTGTTTGGTTGTTTAGCAGGAATGTAAGATTACCGTGTTTGGTTAAAGGAATAAAAGATTATTGGAATGTATATTTTGACCAAATTGTCCTTATTATATATTTGTATAATATTACAAATTGTAAAATATTTATATATTTTCTTTAAAAAATTAAATTCATAATATTTATATAAATTTTTTTACAAAATTAAAAATATAAAAAAGGTTTAATGAAAGGGTAAATTTTTTTTAATCTCTGAACTTCATATAAAATTTTAATTATAGAATTTATTTTGTAAATCTAAAATAATTTAAGGATAAATTTTTAATTTAACCTTCGTAGAATTTTTATTATTCAATGATAGAAGAATGATATTTTTGAAAAAAAAAATAAAAATTTAAGGACATTTTAGTCCAAAACGCCGGTAATGTTACAATACCTAAGGGAAGGGAGGTAATGACATTCCCGGTAATATACCCCAAAAAATCTACTATTGGTAATAAAACATTACCGGGAATGAGATTCCCGGCCAACCAAACATGGGAATGTGGGATTCCCATCCCATGGGAATCCTACAATCCTTGAACCAAACACCCCCTTAAGACCATTTTTCCTCCAATAATTCACCCCTTCATTCGCAATTAAAGAACAATCCAATATTTGCCTCCCTTGGGTGAAGGCAAATTGAGTAGGACTAATTAAGTCTGAAATATAGTTCCTCAACCTCCTCGATAGGCACTTAGATAGGATCTTATATAATCCACCAACTAAGCTAATAGGCCTATAATCATCAAGGTCACCACTGTTCAAGACCTTAGGAATAAGAGTAATAAAGGTATGGTTGATGCCATGATCCCAATCTTTCCCCGAATAGAAGTTGAAGAAGAACTTCATAATTTCTCCTTTAAGAACATGCCAATATCTCTTGAAAAAACCCAAATTAAAACCATCCGGCCCCGGGGCTTTGTTGCTATTACAAGACTTTAAGGTCTCCCATATTTTCATCTTCAGTAAATTCTTTCTCCAAAATTAAACTCTGCTGAATCAAAATTCTGGAAAAATTCAACTCGATTTCTTTCACTTCTAAGGTCGATTTGTCATTAAAAGCCTTAAAGAAGTGATCTTTGACAGTGGCTTTTATATCCTTTGGGTCTTGAATAACATTACCTTTGCAAATAATAGCATTCAACGCATTTCTTTTCCTCCTAACTGAAGCACATGTATGGAAGAATCTGGTATTTCTGTCCCCATCTTCTACCCATTTGGATCTAGAATTCTGGAACCAAATCTGCTCCTCTATCTTATGCAACTTCCATAATTCTGACCTTAACTCCTTTAACTCAGCAGCTTTCTCATCATAAGAACCATCTTGCTGCTGTTGAACCTCCACTTCAAATTTTTGAATCTTCAATTCTATATCTAAAATTAAAGCTCCAGGAAACTTTCCTCTCTTCCCTGCCCAATTTTTAATGGCAGTTTTGGTTTTTTTCAGAATTTTAAAAATTCCAGCATTCATCTGTATCTCTTTGCATTCTTGAATTGAAGAACTGATCACATCCTCAAAACCTGCTTCATCCATCATATAGTTAAACAGTTTAAACGGCTTTTTCCCCCAATTAACACCTCCATTCTCAATAATTACTGCATTATGATCTGACAATGATCTTGGCAGCAAAGACTGTGTTAAATCTGGAAAAGCTGCCAAGAATTGGCTATCAACCAAAAATCTATCCAGCCTTACATAGGTCGGTGAATCTTGGTTATTACACCAAGTAAACCTACCTCCACTCAATGGCAAATCAATTAGACCTGTAGTAAGAAGAAAACGACTGAAAATCTCTAAAGAATTCCTGTTTTGGCCTCTACCAATCTTCTCATCTTCCTGTAGATACACATTAAGGTCCCCTCCAACACAAATAGGCTCAGAATGTCCTCCAATGAACGTGCTTAATTCTTCAAAAAAACTCTCTTTTTCCTCCTCAACCGAAGGACCATACACATTAATGAATCTGCAACTGAAATTATTTGCCCGAAATCTCCCCGATATAGCAATAAATCTTCTAGATGTACACTGATTTTGCAACTCAAATACGTTATCATCCCAGAACATCAGCAAACCCCCTGACGAACCAACCGATGGTGATTCAATAACCCCTTTCAAATTATTTAACCCACTCCTCAAAAAAGACCTTTGAATTTTCTCCAATTTCGTTTCCTGCAACCAAAGAAATTGAGGACAATATTTGGAAACTAGCCTCTGAACAGCCCTTTTATTCTCTAATCTACCCAATCCTCTTACATTCCATGTTATTATAGATATCTTTAACATCATCATAAAGGAATCAACCAACTAGTCCCCCCTCAAAATCCTCCTGTTTGTCCATCCTCAAGCCTTTTTCCAGACTAATAATCTTATCCAAAAAGGCTTGTTGTCCTTGTTTAAAGGAAATACCCAACAACTTACTTATCTCCCAAGTAACTAAAGCTTCATCCAATAAATCTGAAAAACCAGAAGAAGCTGTTGAAATGCTCACTCTTTCTAAAGCTTCCCTTAGCAAATGTCTTCTAGCTCTTCTGATAAAAAAACCCGATTCAAAGCTGTGATTATCACCCATTAACTGCAATCCTTCAACTCCCTTTCCACACTCATATCCCCCGAATTCGATCCATCATTCACATCCTCACAACCCTGAAACTCTGCATCCACTGACAAGCTATCCAGTTGATTTCCTCTGGAATTCATATTTCTCCAGTCCCTGACGATTAAGGCACTATCTTTCTTAGGCTTAAAATTCAAGATACTTCCCATCCAGTATTTTCTGCCCCTACACCTTTTGTAAACCCTTTTATAACTTCGGCTTTTCCTTTTCTCTAACGGAACACTTTTGGTGCTTAACGAACTGTCAGACTTATAACACAGTCTACCCTTAACTTTGCTTCCTGAATTATCAATGGTAGGCTCTATCACCCTTAACTCAGAATCCTTGGCTTGAAAACCACCCTGCTCAATTATCTCTGGATCTGACCTCCTCCCATCTTCTCTGCTAAAACAACTTGACCTAGCCAAATCTTTATCTTGAACCATTTTCCCAAATTTATCAATTTTAATTTTTGGCCCAGCAGGAATTATCCTCTTTACGTTAGGCCCAGCAAACTCATCTTCTTCTGAATGGACTTCAGACCCAACAGCCGTCATTTTTGAATCTCTCAATCCCAAACCTGCAAACTCACCCACTTTGACACTCCCTCCATACTGCATAGCTGACTTTCCATTAATGTCTGATCTATTTTTTGAAATTCTTGGAAACCGATTCTCTCCACCAACTCCATCAAGCCTGATAGCTGCGCCCTGTTCCATCTAACTGTCCACTCTCTGACAGTTTTCTTCTTCTGATCTAGCAAAATCTTCCTCATTTTCTGACCATATCCTGTCTCCTTCGTTCTCAGTCATGAACGCTCCCAACTTTCCTTCATCAGAACTGACCACCGGAGGATTTGTGGAAAAGAAAATAGACTCATCGTTCGTCGATCCAATCTTCATTGTTACTTTAAAAGATCTTCCATATGATCCAATAGTAATCTGATCTGGAACATCAAAAGGACTAGCCACCCTAATTAGCAATCTTGTCTTTGTAAGATCTTCCCTGTGTTTAGTGTCATCAAGAATATCTATAACCCTTCCCCATCTCCCTGCTAACCTTTTAAGGAAGGATTCATTCCAGCATAAAAGAGGTAACCCAAAAAACTCCACCAAACAAAAAGCCATAGGAACACCATCTTCGTTCAGTAATGGCTCTAAACGATCAAACCAAAATTGAAGATCTTCTTTCTTCTTCATCCAAGCATCTGACATTTCTTCAACTGATTTAAAGATTATTACACAAGAATTCCAGACATACCCCCATCTAACAATCTGGACGTCATAGCCTTCATTAACTAAAGCATTATGAACTAACTCTAACTCAAATAAATTCTTGATAATCCCCGTCAATGATCTTTTAACCCAGCTCGAGCTCTCAGATGAAATGTGCATCTGCATGATGTTTTTCCTGACTTTTTCCCTGTTTTCAGCATCGACGGCCAAATCTTTGACCTCCAGAACACTTCCCGACCTCCTATTCGACATCAATGCATCCTTGTATGATCTGTCATCCCTCAAACTTCTAAGAACATCATCTGGCTCTTTCGGATTCGAAATATCAGCAGTGATCGGACAAGCATCCTTCTTAAAATCTTTATTATTACGCTCTACCCATGCTCGGGATTCATTATATCTTGCGACTCCAACCGTGATCCTTCTCACATCTATGATCGCTCCATTTAGATTTTCTATAGCCCTTCTCAAACCATCCTCATTCCCAAACTGCACAAAAGCAAAAGTGGAAAATATGTATTTTGGGTTTCTAGTTTCCTTAGGGATATAGACTCTCTGAACTGGACCTTGAACTAAAAACATTTCCCTTAATGCACGTCTTGACACTCTCCGACTAAGATTATCCACAAACACCTTCCAAATCTCCTCAGAAAAAAGATTACTTTTCGCCCTTTCACTCACAACTTCTCTCTCCCTCTCTCTCATCATGTTTTTTTTGTTTTTCCATAGTTTAGTGTATAATTCCAAAGGGATTCGTCCCAAGTGAACCCAAACAAGTAGCTTCCCCAAATTGAATTCCTAGTTTTTCATGCCTGGCTCCCATTTCCTAAGCATGACTGATTTGTTTTAGATATGCGAGGTAAGGGTGAGTTCAATTCAGTTCGGTCGGGTTTCTTGGATTTTTTGACCTGTTCATTTTAACTAGGTTCGGCTTGGTTTGATTCACGTTTTTTCCATATAATTTTGTGTTTTGAGTTTTTTACTCTATTTTGACAAAATGGCTTCGTTTTATGGGGTTTTTTTTACATTATTTGATAAAGTTTCAAAGTCTTTTTTATGAATATTTCTAAAAGAATTAATTTTCAAGTAAATAAAAATAATTAATGACTCTTAGATAGTATTTTTTAAATTATTTTCACTATTTGAGATACAAAATACTTATTTTTCTCAAGGAAAATACTTATTTTTATATTATAAAAATAAAATAAAATTAGAATTCACTTCGGTTCCGGTAACCACGGTTTTTAAACTTGTAAAACATTAACCATCCAAATACTTCGGTTCGGTTTTTTTGCTCACCTCTAAATTGCCAGGGACCATGTTCAAGCACCCTATCCCTGGCCTCCAATGTTGCAAACTGAATAATAAAAACATTCTGCCCAGTCGGCCTTACCTCTACAGCACCAGATTTTCCCCCATAGCATATTCGCCATTTTCTATAAAGCACTGTAGTTCGGAGGTTTATCTAGAAATTTAGCTATAAGAGAAGTTTGCCATTCCTTTGCCCCTGCTCCAAAAACCTCACTTGTTTATGTCACGATGGAAGGAGAGTTAGGGTTGGAAGGATTTGATTTGGGAAAATATCGGAGAAGGAAATCGGGGAGGCAGCAACAGGAATTGGGGAAAGAGAGAAGGGAATTAGGGATCGAAGGGGATTAGGGATTGCAATGATATCTGGAGGAGAGAGGCTGAAGTAGAGACATGAGATGGGTTATATTGTTATGGGTCTGGGTTAAGAGAGTAAGTGGGCTTTAATTTACTTAAACCCAACTAAGTAGATCAGTAGGTTTATTTGATTGGGCTTGGGGATTTATAGGCTACCAATGATCATTATTATCCAGAAACTAAAATTACTGCTCGGGGTATAGTATCTTGATTGCCCACTTGTCCATTTTCAGAATGTCATACGAGCAGGGTTGCTGAAAGGTCTCTGTTCTGTCCAGGATGAAAGTGCTGGTATAGCTTCAATACTTATTTCAGCAGAAAAGTTTTAAGATATCTAATCAAAGTATAATATATTATAATAACATTACAGTATGTTATATGTACCTATCGAACTGAATGTTAAAGCGCTTTCCCAATTCTTCTAGATTTGATTTGGATTTTATGAACTTTTCCTTTGAATTATATGACAACTTCGTTGCAGGTCTTGTAGTTTCTGTTGTGGATCCTCAACCAGGTGAGGAAATTATCGATTGTTGTGCTGCTCCTGGAGGAAAGACCCTTTACATGGCATCTCGTTTGAGGGGCAAAGGTATACCAGCCAACTTCATGTGATTGCAGGTTTCTTTTAAAGGGTGCATAAGGACTTCTTTGTAAGCTTAAACTTACGTAGTAGTCATTGTCAGGCATCAAAATATTTTTATTTTTCTATTAGTTCCTGTTTTGTGCTAGTATATGTGCACGGACAATAAAAATGGGATCTTCCGCCTTGAATTTGCCTTCTGGTCTGGCAGAATCTTTAACTTGATTTCGTAATTTAGTTTAGCAAGAGTATGCAAAAGCTTATTCGTATTGTTGGTATTGGCATGCTGAGCAAACAATTTGTTTTAAACAATGTTGTGACACCTCATTTTATTATTAGGCAGAGTGCTAGCAATCGACATAAACGATGGCCGGTTGAGAATTCTTGGAGAGACAGCCAAGATGCAAAAAGTCGATGACGTTTACAACAATCCACGCCGACCTTCGTACTTTTTCTGTAATTTCTTGCCCTCTTAAAAGCTTGAAATTTCAAGGAATAAGAAATTTCTTACATACATCCCTATTCTAAAATTTGTAGAACAATAGCACGATGAAATCTGATAAGGTTTTGTTGGATGCTCCTTATTCTGGACTGGGTGTTCTCTCCAAGGTAACTTGAAATGACCATGTATCGATAAGTGTTCACTTTGTAGCGAGCTTTTATCATTATATAAGATTTTCTTCCTATTCTTCTCCGGACTCTTCCCTTTTACCTTTGTATTCCTCGTGAGTTAAGCTATATCTAACCCCACTTTTGTTTCTTTTACCATTTCAAAGAGAGCAGATTTGCTTTGGAATAGAAAACTAGAAGATTTGGAACGGCTTAAGAATCTGCAAGATGAACTCCTTGATGCAGCTTCCACGTGAGATTTGTTTTCTCCTTTATACCTACAATCTTCATTCCAACATTTTACACTTAACATCATTTGTTCGGCATTTATAGATTGGTGAACCAGGGAGGAGTATTAATATACAGTACTTGCTCCATTGACCCCGAAGAGAACGAGGACAGGGTCGATGCATTTCTTGTCAGGCATCCTGTAAGATAGCAGTTGCTTTTTCCTTAACCTCTGCGCCGATAGAGAAAGCCTTGCAGTTCTCGATTCTTTAAACTTAAAATTTGCTCCGACTTGATACAGTCTTTAAGAAAACTATGTTTAGTAATTAATTTGCAAACATTCCTTTTCAGGAATTCAGAATAGATCCTGTGGATAGATACGTACCGTCTGATTTCGTTACAAAACAAGGCTTCTATTTCTCCGATCCTGTAAAACATTCGCTAGATGCAGCCTTTACAGCTCGTCTTGTTCAGACTTAACGAAGAAAACCCTTTGTGGTCCACACGAGGAGCTCAGCTCGTTGCACTACAAAGTTCTCTCCATAACACAGAGCCACTGCAGTGAAAGAGCTCAAGCTTACAAAGTGCAACGACCGATGTAGATTTTAATGATGCTCCAGCACGATTTCTGGGAGGGCCTTAAGAAGGGGATGATAGCTAATGCATTAGCTTTGATATATTGCTTCAACGTACAGATTAAAAAACGGAAAATCTAATGGTTGCTGTCTGGTGATGACAATGAGAGCTGCATGAAGAATATGTTCATGACATGTTAAAGCTTGAATTAATTAGGTTGAGCAAAACAAGCGCTGCTCCTGTCCTGCTTATGAATAACATATTCTGGTGTCAGCATTAAGAGAATATGATATATATATTTAGTATTATTTTTCTTTCACCTACTTTTGTGGATATACATAATACAATTATATAAGTAATTTTTATTTTTATTTTAAATTTATATGTCCTTGGGAAATTTGGTATAAAAAATTGGATCATCCTATATCTAGTTATTATAGAGTTCCTGATTATATATATATATATATATATATATTAAGTGGAGAGATATTTACATTCGTAAGATAAATGTCAGATTCAAATTCAAATTCATACAAGATGAAGCAACATGAATATCTTTAATCACTCGATCAATTAATAGATATAAAATCCCTAACTATATTAATGTTAAAGACTAATTAAATGTAAACTTAATTGAAAGATGATTAAAGAATTTATTCTTTTATAACAATTTGTTAAAATTTATTGTAACTGCTTAAAATGTTAATAATAAAAAAGATTATTTTAACACAATTTAATAATTATTTATGTATTTTACTATGGAATAACTTATTCTTAAAAATCCCAAAAATTTAAGAGAGAGAGAAATACAAAATGACATCGTTTTGCAGCATAAATTTACCTTTTCTACAGGATAACTTAAAAGCTTAAACCTCCAGGCCACCAATGGCCCAAAAACACAAAACCGTATCTCATCTGTCCTTTAGCATTCTAAAACCCCAGCATCACCATTACCACCCGCCGTCACCTCCGTCACCTCCGTCACAGCCACCGCCATGCTCTCATGAACGCCACGAAACATTGGCCCAAGAGGGCCTTATTCCTATCACGTGTTTTGTCACGTGCGTTTTCCGACACCCCTTCCCCCACGTTCCCTCTAAAGCACGTGACGCGATCCAACTTCGACTCGGCCCTCGTTGAACTCCGTTCGCATGTTCGAGCAGCCAATTTCGTGGCCATCGACATGGAAATGACGGGCATAACTAGCGCGCCATGGCGGGAATCCTTTGAATTTGACCGGTTTGATATTCGGTATCTTAAAGTCAAAGACTCAGCTGAGAAGTTCGCTGTTCTTCAGTTCGGCGTTTGCCCTTTTCGTTGGGATTCGCTTAAGCAATCGTTTATTGCCCACCCGTCAGTTCTATCTTCCTCTTCATTTGAATAAACATTCAGCTTTTGTTAAGCAAATTACCCCCTTGAGTTTTTTTGTTTACCTTAGAAAGTTTTTGTTATGATTTATTTGTGAATGACAGTTCATGGTGAGTAGAGTGATTACTTGTTCACTTGAGAGGGAAAAATGTTTTTGGTGGTTGAATTTAGCTTAGTTTGAGTAGAAGAAGAAAAATGGAAATTTGAGCCATTTGTAGAGAAAAGACTTTTGTTTAAAGTTACCGTAATTGCTATGAGTAGAGCCATTTGTTTCCCCTTAACCTGAAAATTTTAATCTTTTGAATGGTGTTTCTTGCTAATGCATTTGACGGTGTAATATCCTTTGCAGGCACAATTTCTTTGTATTTCCTCGCCAAGAAATTCCACTTGATAGCACCTCTTATGAATTCCTTTGCCAGACAACATCTATGGATTTTTTGGCTAAATATCAGTTTGATTTCAACGCTTGCATAAATGAAGGTGCTTTATTTTATATCCCGATGCTTCAATATTGTCTTTACTGCTTAAGTAACTGTTTCTGAACCTTTTTTTTCTAAGTTACCCTTAATTTGAATCTCAGGTGTATCGTACTTATCCAGAGGACAAGAAGATGAGGCTCGAAAAAGATTAAAATCACTTAATAAAGATCAGTTAACAAATCTGTCGAGTGATTTAAGAGAAACTACGGACTTACCACTGGTCCGAGTGGCAGATGTTCTCTTCACCGAAAGAATGAAGAAAAGATTGAGTGAATGGCGTGATGAGTTGTTACAGAATAGGGTAGGAAGGCCTCAGGATCAAGGGGGGCAAAATGACTTAAATCAACAGTTTCAAACAGTTTTCTTCAAAATGCGTCCTGCTCTGGATTTGAATGGATTCACTTCTCATCAACTTAGCCTGATACGAATGGTATATGGTGTTGCTTCTCTCTTGGATTTTATTTGGTCTTCTACATTTAGCTTCTTCATTATGACTTCCATTTGGAAAGGTTTTTTTAAGACCATTTTGCTCCTGTGTCATTAGTATACTGTTAATAATAATTGTCTTTTCAATGGCCTTTTTTTTTGTTATTATGGAGGACGTAAGATTTAATCTCCGACTCTGAATCCCTGCAGGTCACAAGGAAGCATTTTAAAGATCTTGCTTATGTTCATCGTAATGGTGAAAGTACTTCAGAAAAGTTTGTGGTTTATACAGACTCGGAGAGTGATAGGGACAGACTTGTGGTAAGACAAAACATATATGTGAGGAAGATCTGTCAATTTTTTTCCATATATGGATGATGAGCATCCAACTGTTCTTAATATAAAACACTTCCATATGTTCATATTAGAAATTTGTTAGAAGTAGAACTGTAGATTGTGTTCCATTTAGTTCCATATTTAGTTGGTGGATGCTTTAATATTTAGTATCATAGATGGAGTAAATGGAAAAAATAAATAAAACCCTCAAACTAGAACTAAAACATAGGGTTTCAAGGCTTTGATGGTATTATGGGTGTATCATGCACTGACCTGATGGTGCTGGGATTAGATACTGAGGCTATGTAATTAGAAGTATGGATCTGACAGCAGCATTTAGCATGGCTTCTTTTGCATTTTGTGACGGCTCTTCTCCTTTTCCGTGGTTTATGTAGGAGGAGGTGAAGAATGATTACCAAAGAAGGGAAGAAATGAAGATCAATGATGCAGTAGGATTTCGTCATGTGATTGATCTCCTTTCCTCAGAAAATAAGTTGATTGTCGGTCACAATTGCATCCTGGGTATGCATACTTGTCTCAAGTTATGGGAAGATATCATATTAGTCAAATAGATTACTGAAGTGTTTTTTATTTTGATGATACAGATATTGCTCACATTCACAGCAAATTCCTAGGTCCTCTTCCTTTAACAGCTGAAGAATTTGTTTCCTGTGTTAACAAGTACTTCCCAAGTATCATTGACACCAAAATACTACTGAATGCTGACTACACGTTACAACGAAAGATGAAGAAGTCTAGCACTTCATTATCCTCAGCTTTTTCGTTATTATGCCCTGAGATTGCTTATGGGTCTAAGCAAATTGCTTCTGGGTCTAAGCAAAGCTTTCCGTCTAATGAGACATGTGTTAAGGTCGAGGTCCATGTGGGTGAAATGAGGTTTGCCTTCCCTTTCCTTTAAAATGATTAGGTTAAAATCCCTCTGATTTATTTTATCATAATAGCTTAAACTTCCCTTTCTATCTTTCCCTTTTCTCATCCCCCTCAAATTCTGTCTAGTTTTGCAATCTGAGTTGTATAGCTTAGTATTCGCTCACTCTTGCATATTTATGATATCTAATTCCCTGAATCATCCCCTAAGACTATTTTTTTTTGATAGAATATAGGCCTCGTTAAAAACCCCCTTCATATCCTACATGTTATATAAGTAACATGAAGGACATAGAAAGGAGGAAAAGAGCGCCTCTGAATTGTATTAATCTTGAACATAACATACAACCAATCCATAACCATGGTCTGCTTATAACATAAGACTTAACAGCATAAACACAAACTGCAGCACTAAAAACCAAGCCCCTTAAAAAAAACACAATGAACACCCCAGCTTAATAACTATAACTCATAACCACTGATCATCTTATACCAGCTTTTGCCAACTCATCCACTTCCCAGTTAGCAGCTCTCACAATATGTCTTGAGATGATACCCTTTCCTTCCATATAAGTAGCTACGCCTCTTACCAAGGACTGAAACAACGGGGGTACATAAATCTGGATTTTTAATCCATTTGAGAGCCGTGGTTGAGTCTGATTCCAAGATAATCCTCTGAGTTGGAAAAGATCCCAACTCTTCAATGAGACTTAAACCTCTTTTGATCGCCAGCAACTCTGCAAGAATAGGAGGACCTCCAATTTTTTCAGAGAAAGTTCCTAGTTTCAAACCTCTATCATCCCTAATCAGACCGCCAATTCCTCCTTTGTCCCATCCACCATTGCCCCATCAACATTAAGTTTAATGAAACCTTCTGGCAGAGGTACCCACCAAGAAGTAGGAACGCTCCTATGGTTCTGTCTTCCAATCGAGTCTGCCAATTTTAAATCCCCAACTAGAGAATCGAAAGGAATATTAATATCCTTGAATCTCGCCCCAAACCAAGAAACAGTTCTGAATCTAGCAAGAAAGAACAGCAGTGCAGAATCCACTTTCCCTTTCTGGAAAATAATCTCGTTCCTACATTTCCAAACCGACCACAACACCGCCCTTGGAATGAATTTCCAAATTGTAGATCTCGGAATTAACTCATCCCACAAAATTAAGAAGTCAATCACCTTATTAGGAACCACAAAAGAAATATTCCAGCCCCTCAAAAATCTAGACCACAGAACCCAAACCACCTCACAATGCAAAAACAAATGTGAAATCGACTCCTCCCCCTTCCCACACATTGGGCATAAGAGGTCCTCAATCCCAACCTCTCCTCTCTTCGACAGCTCCTCTTTCACTGCTACTCTTTGATGTGCAACTTGCCAAACAAAAGTTTCTACCCGTGGAGGAGCAACCCCTGCCCAAACATGCCTCTCCCAATTACCCTCCTCACCCTCATTACCCTCCTGGTCATAAAACCTTAATATACACGATTTAGCTGAAAAACAACCCTCACCATTACCTAACCATATCCAACAATCTTCCTCCAATAATGAGAGAGTCGTACTATTCAACAATGAAATAAGTTGCAACCATTGCTCAACCTCCCAGTCCACCAAATTTCTTCTCACTTGTATATCCCACACCCATCCTGAATTGCTGTTCACTCTGAAATCTGCTACTTTACCCCTTTTGTTATTCGATAAAGCAAAATGTCTTGGAAACCGTTCCTTCAGAGGAACAATGCCCAACCATGTATCATTCCAAAACTCCACTAATTCTCCATTTCCAGCTCTCAAACACATGTTTTTTCTAAGGCAATCCCTAAAATCATCAGTAGAAAAGAAATTTTGATTAACTCCTCTCCAAATCCAAGAAGCTCTAACTGTCCAATTATTCCCAATCATCATAGCATTTGTATCCAAATTATTCACACTGCACACCACTTTTTTCCACCAAGAGCTCTTTTCCGAAGCAAATTTCCAAACCCATTTCCCCAAAAGAGCCCTATTCAAGAGCAGCAAGTTCGGAATCCCTAAGCCTCCCAATTTCTTTGGCTTACACACTGACTTCCAATTCAACCAATGGATGTTCTTCTTTTCTGCCGAACTTCCCCATAAAAAACCTGCCATAATAGAGTTTAAATTGTTGAGAACCGTAATTGGTATCCGAAAAATAGATAGGAAGTAGATAGGGAGAGAACACAAAACGGATTTAACCAAAACAACCCTTCCAGCCAACGATAGGGAGTTTGCCTTCCAACTAGCCAATGAACTATAGAATTTCTACACAACAGGCTCCCACAAGGTAAAGCAATTCCTCTTGGCTCCCAATGGTAGCCCAAGATACTCCGAAGGAAAAGAACCCATTGAACATCCAATCTCCTTAGCCCATGCATCTAGAACCTCATCCTCAACATTAACTCCAAATATTCTGCTTTTTGTCAAATTCAGCTTCAATCCCACCAAAATCTCAAAAATGAACAGCACCCTCCTAACATTCAGCAAATCGCGAATTGTTGCTTTGCTGAAAATTATAAGATCGTCCGCGAATTGTAAATGAGATAACATGAATGATCGATCTAGAGTACCTAGCTTGAAACCCGAAAACAACCCCTTATCCACTGCTTTTACCAACAGTAAATGCAGCAACTCCCCCCCCCCAAATTAAACAACATCGGAGATAATGAACAACCCTGCCTTAGACCTCTGGAAGGGTGAATTTTCTCTGCTGGATTCCCATTTACTAGAATAGAAATAGAAGCTGTTGACACACATTTAAGTATCCAAGAGCACCATCTAACTCCAAATCCCATTTTATCCATTATTTTCATCAAAATCTCCCAATTCACCAAGTCATAAGCTCTTTTAAAATCCACCTTAATTACCACCCCCTTCAATCCTTTCTTCCTCCAAAAGTCAATACCTTCATTTGCAATAAAGGAGCAATCCATAATGTGTTTCCCTGGATGAATGCAAATTGAGACGGACTTATAACTTCATTAATACATAAACTCAGCCTTCTAGTTAGAACCTTTGAAAGAATTTTATAAAACCCTCCAACAAGGCTAATTGGCCTAAAATCATCAAGCCCCTCCGGATTGACCTTCTTTGGAATAAGAGAAATGAAAGAGTGGTTAATCTCCATATCCCAATCCTTCCCCTCATAAAAGTCCCTAAAAAACAGCAGCAACACTTCCTTCAAACTTGACCAGAACTTCTTTAAGAAGCCTAAATTTAGCCCATCAGGACCATGCGTTTTGTTACAATCCGAATTGGCAATTGCTTCCCATATTTCCTCTTCAGAAAATGGCTTTTCAAGAGCCATACTTTGCTCATTCGAAAGATTAAGAAATTCCAGGTCCAAATCGTCTACCTCCAATGTATTTCCCTGCTGAAACAGAGCCTTAAAAAAGTCCACCACTGAGGCTTTAATCCTACTAGGATCTGAAGTGACTTCATTCCCCACTTTGAGGGACTTTATATGGTTCCTCCTACCTCTACCTCTAGCACATTGATGAAAAAACCTTGTGTTCTTATCCCTTTCCAAACTCCACTTCACTCTCGACCTTTGTAACCAAGTCGATTCTTCAATTTTATAGAGATCCCACAATTGTTTTTTCGCCTCCAATAGATGTTGCATGGACACCATAGAAGAGCCTTGTTGCATATCAATTTCTAATTTCTGAATTTCTTTTTCCAAACAACTAATTTTCCGAGGAAGCTCTAAATAACCCTTCTTAGACCATTTCTTCACAGCTTTCTCCACCCCTTTTAACACAGTGGAAATTGATATTTTATTCTCTACTTTACACAACTTAATCAGTTCATTTTCCATCATCTCCCCAAAACCCTCCTCCTCCATAACATAGTTGAACAGTTTGAATGGTTTAGGACCCCAATTCCAGCCCCTATTTTCCAGCAAAATCATGTTGTGATCCGAAACAGACCTAGGTAGAAGACTTTGGCTTATCCTTGGGAAAAAAGATAAAAAATTATGATCCACAAGAAAACGATCCAATCTCAGATAGGTTGGAACCTCCCTATTGCTACACCATGTAAATCTACCTCTAGCCAAAGGTAAGTCTACCAAATTAGCATTGCCCACAAAGTGTCTAAAAACATTCATTGAACCCACAATTACTTCACCACCAGCCTTCTCGTCTTGTGACAGAACGACATTAAAATCCCCTCCAAGGCACACTGGGCAATCTGTATTTTCCAAAAAAGAAAGCAATCCCCGAAAAAACAACACTTTTTCAGACTCCACACTTGGTCCGTAGACATTAATAAACCAACAAGGCCCGGAGGACTCTTCAATACTTCCCCTTACTGCCAAAAATCTCCTATGAATGACTTGTTCCTTAACAACACACTCATTTTCATTCCACAACGTAATTAAACCTCCAGTAGTTCCTTCAGCTGAAGATACTGCCGAACCCGTCAAGAAATTCCCTCCCATTTTCCTCAATAAAGAAGGGCTCACCAACTCCAATTTCGATTCTTGAATAAATAAAATTGTGGGCTTCTGATCAACAACGAACCTCTTTACTGCTCTAGCTTTCACCCTCCTACCTAGACCCCTAACATTCCAAGACAACACTTTCCAATTTGACATCTATTTCAATCAAAAACCTTACAAACCAATACCCCTTAACTACTCCCATTTGCTTCTTTCTCCTTAACCAATGTAGCTGCTTTCTCCATAAAAACTTGCTTTCCCCCTCTAAACTTCACCCCCAACAGTTTGCTTACATTCCAGCACTCAAGTGCCTCAGCTCCTCCTGCCGTCTCCCTTGGATTAACATAATCTGATCTTGTCCCCACACAGCTCTTAGCTCCTCCCCTTCTTGATCTGGAATAAACACGCTTGCATAAACCGCTCCCTGTTTTACTTCCAGCCTCACTCTTCCCATACATTCTTTGTTGAGACATCATTGCTGGCCCACACTGCAGAGGAGCCCGAAGCTGCTCCTCAATATTATCTGTTATGGGAGTATTACAGCCCATGTTTACTCTTCCATTTTCTTGATCCATTCCACTCAACAAATGTCTTCCCAGGCCTTCCTGAAGCCCAATATCCCAGTCAACTTTGTCATGCCCATAGGAAACACCCCCCATACTTTTCCCATCTTCTCTCCCTTAAATAAAACCTTCTGACTTTCTATGCTGGATGGAGACATCTTCTGCAATTTTCACTCCTGTACACAAGTCTGCCGAAAAGTTGTTTTTTTGAATTTGAACCAAAATTCAAACCTTCCTCGGAATCTGTGATTCTACCTTGCTGGGAACCTTTAACCCATTCCTCTACCCTGATTTGGTTGTCTGACACCTCCTGCAAAACCACGTGCCCTTCTTGCTGCGCCTGAACATCCTCTTGGCTCCAGTCCGAGGAGCTTTTCTCCCATGGACATCCCCTAAGACTAATTAATTAAACATGAACACTTCGTAAGTGTCTGCTAGCATTAATAGTGAATCAATAATGCTACTCTGTGTCTTGAGAAGCACCCCGGATGTCCTTTTATTCTAAAACCTAACTTTAACTGGCAGGTCTTCTAATTGGAACTCTGGAGCCAAGCATGAAGCTGGCTATGATGCCTTTATGACAGGCTGTGTGTTTGCCCAGGCTTGCAGTCATCTAGGCATCAACTTTCAACTTCATTCGACTTCTGAAAATCTGACTCAGAATGAAAAGTTGCAGAAGCACATGAACCTTTTATATCTGAGTTGGATTAACGGAGACATTATTGATCTGACTGGTAACCGGTCTGAGGAGATGTTGGGCTCGTATATAATCAGAAAGCGATTTCGACCAATTTTATTTAAGAACGTTGTTTTACTCTGGGGATTCCCTTCGCGACTGAAACCAAGCATGATAAGAGATTGCATCTGCAAAACTGTTGGCCCTACCTCAGTTATTTCTATATACTGTATAGATCAAACTGCAGTTCTTGTTCAGTTCAGCAAGGCGGAGTTCGCCTCAGACTTTCTGAATTGGAAGAAAACTCTAGAGCAAAGTAACGATGCAATTTCCGTTTTGCATCCGCTTTCACAACTTCTGGAAGGTGGAAATACTCATGCTGCTAGTTATGAAACTTATAAAGAGATATGTGCATCACCTATATCGAAAGTGTTGTTTGCAGATCAAGCAGAGGCTGTTGGTATCAAATGGAAGACCAAATTGCTACCATCCGGCGAAGAGGAGAGCCAAGAGAATAATAGTTTCCATCTTGAAAGTAGTGCAGTGGATACACCAGAGGCTTTTGCAAAATCTAAGATAAGAAAGAAAGATGATGTATTAAATGATATCGTTGATTCATTTATTAAAGCCGAAAAGATTAGAAGAATCACTAATCTGTAACTCAGGCTTTAAGGCAGTTTTGAGCTTTTTTTCCACCCTAACTTCATTGTATTATGTGTATGACATTGAAAGCTTTATTCAAATATTCAGATTACTCAATTCAAAATGAGGATCACATCTTTTATGGCAATTTTAAGGCAACCTTCTGGACATGAACAATTTGCATTTGAAATGGATTTATATTTTCAGATCAGAGAAAGTAAATATCAAAGATTTGGAAACATATTTTCAGATGACAGCAGAGACCACACAGTTGACAGTTCAATGCAGTTCCTTTGAACTCAGACTAATGAACTAGTCTCAGAACTAGCAAACTAAACTGAACTAATGCTATAATGTTGGTCTTAAAGAATCAAGCAATCAATGAATTCTAAATGTTAGAAAAATGAAAATAAATCTAAAATCAGCTTTGGATCCCTCCCCAGCCTTCAAGCAGTTGTTTTGCTTTCTTCATCATCTGAGACAATGTCTTCAACGGTTAAGCTGCAAGAGAAAACCAGACTCGGTTTTGTCTTTGGTACGGCTATTAGATCCACCTCATTGTTAAGGATCTGAAGGACTCTCCTGATTGAAGGCCTCTCAGCACTATCAGGGTGTGCACAGCTCAAACCTACAAGCAGCAGCTTCCTCATTTCTTCCTCTTTGAAATCCCCATTCAACCTTTTATCGGCGGCTTCAACGATCCTACCCTCACCATGCAATCCCCAAACCCAGTCAACCAAATTCACCAGTTTCTGGCGGTTTACTTCCCTCTCAATTGGCCTCCTACCACAAGCTACTTCAAGAATAACGACACCGTAACTGAAAACATCGGTTTTCTCGGTTGCTTTCCCGTACTGAAGATACTCGGGAGCAAGGTAGCCCATAGTTCCTGCAGTAAGTGTCGAAACAGGGCTCTTGTCGTGATCCATCAACCTTGCCAAACCGAAATCACCGAGTCTTGGATTAAAGTTGCCATCAAGCATTATATTACTTGTCTTAATGTCTCTGTGAATGACTTGTTGTTCACATTCTTGGTGCAGGTATGCTAAGACAGAGGCCAACCCAATAGCAATATTCTGTCTATGGGACCATGTCAGCAATATGTCATTCTCGGGTTCCGGATGAAGCACCTTGTCAAGGCTTCCATTAGGCATAAACTCATAAACAAGCAACAGTTCTCCCTTCTCAGCACACCAACCTTGTAGCTGAACCAGATTCTTGTGCCTCAAACCAGCTATAATGGACAGTTCAGCCAGGAACTCAGTTTTCCCTTCGTGGGAATGTTTGGATCGTTTCACCGCTCCGACGACCCCCGAAGATACGAAAATGGCCTTGTAAACATTTCCGAACGCACCGCTTCCAATGATTCGACTTGAGTGAAACCCTCTTGTGGCTACATATAGTTCTCTGTAACTAAACTCACTTGGCCCTGTTAAAATTCCTGCTTTCAGACCCTTTTCTACTCTCATATCCTTCCATTTCTTCACAGAAACATAACTGAAAACGGCAAGAACCACAAAGAAGAACGCCGGACCTGCAATGCCAAGTCCTAAACCAAGCCTGTTATGGTGTTTTTTGGTTGAATTTGATACAGGAAGTTCTGATATTACTGTCACCGTACTGTCGGATACATTATGAGGATGCGATTTCGGTCTCACGGGAAGGAAACCGAAAGTCTTGAAACGCCAACTATGAATCAAATGAACTTCAGTACTCCCTTCTGTTGAAGCCGAAAAACCAACGAACATATCATCATTAAGATAGTGAGACAAGTCAATATCCACAGATAACAATGGCGTTGGAGGCTTTAAAGTCGAATAACTCAAGAACACATTAAAAACCCTCAAATCATTCTTGTAATCAATCCAAGCCGTGATCAAATTCCCACTCTTCAAATCAATGTTCTGCAACACAGCGTCGGCCGTGATGATCGAATCGAGCTCGTCGATATCCAAACCGACATGGTTCCCATTTGGATCATTGAATTCAGTATCGAGCCTGGTATCAAATTCGATGGCTAAAAATTTGTTCTTTTTCGGCTGTGAAGAGTTGACGAGGCCAAGATACCCTCCGGGACTGCCGAGAGTTTGGTTATCAGGGGAAAGGAAAAACGTTAAGCCGTCGCCGAAAGAGCCGGAGTTGAGATTGTTGATGGAAAAAGAGAAACTCGTCGAAAAAGAAGCCGTGGTATTGGATTCTTGATCGAAGAAACGGATTGGGTTTTCGTAGATGAGGCTGCCTGAGCTCGAAGACGGAACACCGATCTCCCTGGTGAGGCCGATCACGCCGTTTTTGAGATGGGAATCACCAAGAAGGGTGAGGTTCCTGAAAGTGAAAGATGGGAAACCAAAGGAGGTGCTTTCGGATAAGGTTAAAGATGGGAAGAAATTCATGAGAAGCAAGAAAACAAGAAGGATCGTCGGCGCCATTGCTTTCTTGGTCTGAAAGATTAAATCATACAAAGGGTTAACACAGGTCTTTGAGTTGTTCGTTTACAAAGAGAATGCATGAAAATGGGCGGCTGCGGAGTTCAAAATTTTAGAGTGGTGATTATATAACGGTTAGAAAGATTGAAGGTGGCCTTGTTTTGGCCATGGTGGAAACGGCGTAGTTTTATGATTATTGAGGTGGGAACTGAAACAAAAGATGAGAGAGATCCGATGTGGGAATCTGGATTTTTTTTAACCCCAAAAGTGACCTTTTTATGTAGGACTGCGTATACAATTCTGACAAGCCATGTGAAAGGTCTCCATTCTTTAAAGCCGGACATGTTCACATTTGACCCAATAATGGTGCATTGACGCTCCCTTCTAAAATTTTATGTACACATAGTTGAATAGTATAGAAGTACTCTTCCAATACAAAAACGAATAGTATAGAAATAGCACGATGAATTTGATTCATCGATGATAAGAAATTCAATTATATTTAAAGGTTTAACTTTGGATTATAAAATTTATGAAAATTTAATATAATCATAATATATCAAAATATCTTAATAAAATATTAATATTGATGTACAAATTATATATTTTGATGAAGATAATATATATAATAATTTTGTTAAGATATTTTATTTATAATATGTATATTATTATTATTTATAAATTATAATTAATATTATTATAATCATTTTATTTATATTTTTAAAGATTCAACCCATATTTAATAAAATACCTAAGTGATCACGTAATTATGTTAAAATAATTTTTTTTATTACTGAAGTGATAAGGTGATAATTAAAATTTTTAAACAGTTATAAAATGATAATTAAAATTTTATTAAATTATTATAAAATAATCATTAAACTTTATCAAACTATTAAAAAATACCTTTAGACTTATTAAGATTTATCACTTTTTTTATAACGTATAATAACTACTTTATAACAATTAAACAAATTTAACAAACATGTTGGAAGTAAAATTTCAACGATTAAAAAATCATTTCATTATAATTTAATGAATATTTATAAGTTTTATCTTAAAACCTTTTTTTTTTGAAGAAAATCTTAAAACTTATATACGAGTTCATAATCATTTCATAAATAAGCATTATTAATAAATTTTACAAAATACATATTATTTTCCTTCACCCGTCACTTTAAACTTTTGGGTGAAATCAGATTCCAAAGGTACATGTACTTTTATATAATTAGACATTTGGAATCTAACTCAAACGGCAACATAGAAAGTGGATGAGAATTGGCGTCACCTCCGAAAAGACGGAGGCAATGCCAATAGGCCGACAAACACAGCAAAGAAATCTGATATAAAAGAAACCAATACCAATATTATTATTATCATAATGGACAAACATGTGATACCAACTCCAGACCCAAATCCAACACCATACCATTCCACGTCATTGAGCCGTTACAGGAATAAGACTTTTTAGAGGTTGAAAGGGTCTAACATCATCACATCACATGTGCACTCTGCTTCAGAAATCAAAACAATTTCAGTTCTATACAACAATGGAGTTCAAAAGTACAACCAAATATGTAATTTCAACATTCTTTGCCCAACCTTTAGTGCTAAGAAAGGGTGAAAAGACTCTGTTCATTTTGGGCCTCTCCCTGCTTCAAATTTTGAGAAATTGCTATCAGACATGTTGAAATTACAGATTTTCACTGTTTTGTATCATCAAACAACCATTAACATTCTACTTATCCAAAAAAAAACCAACCATTAACATTGACAACTTGGAATCTTGCCAGGTGATGATGGCACAACTACAATATACATCATCTGCTACAACTTTTTTTTAACAAATAAAAAATGATAATCACCTACATGTTACTCTTCCAAAAGAAATCATTCACTCTGCCACAAAAAAAAAACGAAAATTTCATTAGAGGTCAGGATTTTAGAAAGAAACATTGTTTAAGCATTAGATTCCTAGCCATGAATAAAAATGGCGGCAATATCCATGGAGGACCGGTTTGTATAAAGTGCTAGTTGCCTCAATATGTGATTTAGGCCTAAAAGTTACAATTGCCTAGAAGGATAGAAGATACTGCTAGTGAAACTGAAGACATAGTGTACCTTTCCACTCATAGAAGAGATGTCATTGAGTCAGCTGAAGATACTATGGTTTTCAAACTGTACCATTCGATCTAACTCGCTCTATTTTGCTGGAGCTTTCTTGGTAAGAGAACTATGAAAGATAATGACTGTTAGTTCAATTTATCAGCATAGTACAAGATTTTATGGTTTGCATGGTAATCACCTTCAGAAATACTACAAAAGCTTCCTGGGGGGAAAATTCCTTCCGGATCTAATTGTTGTTGGGAAGTGACAACAAGAGCCACACGCTTTTTACTGCAAAAAAAGTTAAAAACTGATTTTCTTGGGGGAAATATAGTTGAAAACATCTTATTAATTGCCAAAAACTAACAGCATATATCTTATGCATGTGCATTTTTTTAGAAAAGATGGAATATATGTGTTCCTAAGCTGGAATTCCTGAGTTACATACCTGGCCCATGAAGGAATAAATTTATTGTTCGGTTCATCATCTTCATCGTCAGAACCTTTGTATGGAGAAATATCATATGATTGTTCTTGGCCTATATCTGCAATTGGGTTATCACTCTCTCTTGCTCTATCCAAGGTGCTCATTACCTGAGAAAGATTCAGTCTCCACATGATGCTTGAACAAAAAATATTGACAACCATTCAATTAGTAAAGGACAAATCCAAGAGATGGTTTCAGTTAAACTGGTGTTCATATAGCTTCTAAGTGATGCAAAAACAATCCATTTGAAGGTCCCATTACTAAGCCTGAATTTACACTCCATCAATTTACTGCAGCGTAGCTTAATTCAAACTTATTACGATGGTCCATAAGTTGTACTTGCATAAGAAAAACTCCTTGTGTTTGTACATGGTGAAAAACATACGTTATATTACCCTCTCAATACAAGCTGAGAGAATACGTCAGCATTTTCTCCATATAAGACAACATTGTTCAATCTGAAAAGTATACCGCTACAAGAACTTTACCTTTGTATTATCTTCAATAATTGTGCATGGTTTTACGGAAGTTGAAGCAACAGCTGTCCTCAATTCCATCTCCGACACTTTTCCTCCATTCCCTCCTGCTATTTCTTTTTGCACTTTCTTATGCTTTGCTGCTTCATCACTAGGAACCTTCATTGTTTGTCCTCTCTCATCCTAAAACAGAGATCCAAAGATAATGTCATTCCACATAAAGGAAAACTTAAAAATGAAATATTCTTTAAAACATAAGGGGTTTTTTACCGGGGCTTGGGACTCTTTTTCATTCTCATCCTTCTTTGAACGTAACTTCTCTTCTAGAGCACGCTGCTGCCTCCTTGCGTCCTCCATATGTTTTCTCTTTCTTTCTTTCTCCAACTTTTCTTCTTCTTCCCTCTGTCTTTTCTTGGCAGCCATATCAGCCACTTTTTTCTTTCGTTCTTCTTTCTTTTTCTTCTCAAGCTCCAATTGCCTCAAGTTTTCTTGCTCCAGTCTTGCTCTTTCAAGTTTTAATGCCTCTTTCTTCATCTTTCGATCATTCTCTTTCTTTTCAGCAAGTTTTTTTGCAGCTTCAGCAGCCTCTAGAGCCTTCACTTTAACATCCCTCTTCCCTAAAAAGAATCACAAAAAACCATCTTCATGATCTATATTTAATAGAGTTTTCATAAAATGTTTGGTAGAAAAGAGACAAAAAGAACAGCTGCAGAAGACGTAAGAGGTGATTACCAGTGATAGTGGAAGCTGCTTGTTTCTGCTGAACAATTGGAATGAACGAAGTGATATTCGAAACTATATTGTTGACCTTCGGTTCCTTTTGCGAGAAGCTTGGCCCACCTTTTCTCAGACTGGTTTCATCTGATAATTGTAGTTTACTGGACCTATTACGAAGTGATTCACTTGCCCTTTTGGTATCATTTGCCCCTGGTAGCATATTCCGGTTCTTTTTCAACTTACTAGTGTCTCTCCTCTTGCTGGCATTGTGTTTTTCAACCTTCTGTTTGATCCCGTTCTCGGTCCCAGTGAAGCTGTAGGCTGTGTTCACAGAGTCTAGACTATCTCTAAAGGTAAATTGTTCAGCTCCAGAAACTACTGCAGCAACATTTGGACATTCCTTAATATCAGCAAGTGGTTCCCTTTTGACAGAGCTAGCCACAACCTCAAAAGCAGCATCTTCCTGAAATCTATCCACCACCTCATCTGTGTTCTCGTTTTCTTCACTAATACAGGGAAGGTCAGGATTTAAGCTACGTCGCTTTTCTGAACTGCCAGAGTATGATGTGATTTTATCCCAAAGCATAGGAGAAAGATGAAGTTTCTTCCCATCTTCAGTAACTTGAGAACCAGAATACAGCAAGCAATCTGAAAAGGATCTTCCAAGAAATGCATTGTTGGTAGCATCATCAAAGCAACTAGTGCTGACTTTAAGTTGACTTCTTAAAACATCATTGTTGGGAAGGGTGCTCTTCTGGCCCATGCATTCTAGAAGTCCATTAGGAACAGACTGGTACAGGTCAGTTGTTCGGTGCACTCCGTACGTGGTTGGAAATTGGGATAAAGGGGTATGAATGCAAGCAGACTTGCAAAGCTGCTCCAGGACGCCAGCACATTCTATTGTAGTCTTCGGAAGGTCCAAGTTGGGAAAGCTTATTCCATCGCCACCAATGCAGACATGTTCACTGTCTGTAATGAACCCCTCAACTTCTGGTCTGCTTTGATCAGAACTTAACAAGCCTGCATGTGGTTGACATGGAGAATTAATGAGAGAAGTTGCAAACTCACCATCTTCTCCAAGTTGAGATTTCCTTTTTTGCTTGCTCCTTCCATCACAAATAAAATGTTCAAGATTCACATCCCCACTAAACATAATGCTGGATGGATATACTCCTCTTGTTCCCTCCTCTAAATGATCTTCATTATTTTCAAGGTTCTGTTGTGGCAAACTTGAGATAGAAGCCACATCAAATTGTTCGTGCATAAAAGTGGAAGGGGTGTTTTCATTTCCACCGTTCTCTTGCCAATCACACTTCCCCTGGCAAGCACAATAATAAGACATTAGCTCAGCTAAAGAGTTTAATTTGCAAGTAGGAAAGCAATCTGTACAATCTATCAATGAAATCAAGCAGTAAAGGAGCAGTAAACAGTGCACAAATTCTTATGGTAACAGAGTCCAAAATAATGTCTACCCAAATGTTTTTAGTTCCTGCAATTTTAATTGTCGTTTCTTGTGTTTCCTGTTTTTGCTGGGGCTATAGGCTTAATGCTTGAGCATCTCTAAGGGTTTATGTCCTATTTCTTGTTTATCGTTGGGACTTTTCCCGGCGTTTATTGTTCAGGTATTGTAACCCTTAGGAGACAGATCAAAATAACATGCAAGCAAAAAGCAAGATAAAGAATTGAGAAATTCAGATCAATTAGAATAGATACATGATAAGCATAAGTGTATCTTATACGAGTCATATCCTCATGATAAAACCCAGTGACTAAGCTCAAGTGCTATACCTTCATGCTTAATGACAACGATGGGGAATTACTTAGTTGATCTTCAACCTTCTGCCGCTTATGCGGCCATGAACTTTCCACATGCATGCCAGGATGTCTACCTGGCTGTATGGACTGAACTGTAACCTTGTTTTCACTTGATTTTGCGTGTATGTGATCTAGAACTGAATCAATGTCATCAGCAATACATCTTCCCAGTGAATCTGCATCTTGATTTTGGGAAGGACTTGGCTCCACATTTTGTTTCAGAGGATGACCCTTAGTTTCTTCAAATGGTGCAACACAAGGATGCTCACTAGCATCACTGGAAGTTACATCTGCTTTCATTAGTAGGGAAGGGTTACAAACTCCAGTGAAATCTATATCTGCCAAATTTGCAGGACAGCTACATACACCAGTATTGGGATTACTTGCTTTTTGAGCCGACATTACAGATTTTTCTTCTTCAAGCTTCCCATAGTCCTTAAAGAGATAATCCGTCTCTTTATTGGCATTTAAATTAGATGGTGCCACATCATTTAGTGAGTTTCCAAGCAAATTTTCATTACAAACTTTGAAGGTAGTTGAAAGATCTTCCGTGAAAGTTTTCCATCCAGAGATTTCATTGCTTTCAGGCAGAATACTTGTTATATCATCTGAAGAAGCCTCAGCTGTTTCTTTTATTGGAGGACACAACATTTAATTTAGAAGTTCTACCTGGTCCCAATGTCTTGTTCAAATCTGTTTCAGAACCCCTCTCTCTTTTTCTAAAATATTCATACTTCAACAGCTGTTCCAGGGATGAGTTGTATTTGTTTTGGTTAAGAACAGAAGTTGCTTCATCCAGCTTACCTGCACAAGGTAGAGGTGTAATAGACCTTTTCTCCAATGAGTTGCCCACTTTTTCAGTCTCTAATATAAGACTAGAAGCCCCACTCAAAGTGCACTCTCCCAAATCATCAAAATCAAGTTGCTTGGGTAACACCATCATGGCAGATTCAGAGTGTTGGCTTGTTCTTACTACTTCTAAGTCAACTCTGTTGTACATATTCAATGATTTTGCAAGAAGAGGAATGTTAACACCATCCAAGTTCACTGCAGAACCAGCTAAATGAGCCTCAACTAATTCATCAGAATCTGCATAAGTGTCAGCAACGATTGCATCACATTGATTCAATCCAGCAAGAGAACTGTCATTGGCACAAGGCAGGGAATTTACTTGAGAACCAGAAACTTCCTTAAATTCAATTCTTTTGGAACTGTCTGGTGACGTTGCATGTGGGAGCTTGTTGGAATCTTTTGGTTTGGGCATTTTGACTTCAGACTCCAGACCATTAGAAGAACCAACAAGTTCAAACATATTTGCACCACAATTAGCTCTTGAGTTGGTGCTATCATCATTATATTGGTCTACAGCAGTACCCAGCTTTGTTTGGTTATCACTTGTTCTGGCCTCTCTCCCACAACTTTCATCTGTGATATCACAAGGCTTAATCAACTCCTTATGATCAAGAGTATGGCAGGCCACCTGCATTGATTTGCAAATCCCGTTATCGGTGCTCCTCTCGGGACAACTATCCAACTTCAAATGTTTATTCTCATAGTCTTTCTGTTGGCTGGAACTTCTGGATCTTTTTAATCTTCCTTGACAAACATTGTTTTCTTTTTCCTTGCTTTTCAGGTCTTTTTCTTTCTTGGAACCACAACATCCAGCACAGATAGCAGGAGACTTTACCAATTCCAATAACTCATCAACAACATTATTTTGTTCTTTTGATTTGCGGATGGGTTCTACACTTGTATTTCCGTAATACTGTGCAACATCACATGTTTTGCCAGCACATGAAATCCCATTCATGAAGTTGGGAGGTTGAACAGAATGTCCAGCTCTAGTGACACTGCCAGAGTGAAAACTTTCATCCCTTTCCTTGCTCTGAAATCGACCTCTTTCTTCCTTTTCTACCATACAGGTTACATCATCATCAACTGGTTTGACAGATTGCAATAACTCAACAACAACAGCATGCTCTAGTCCTGATTTTTTAATGGATTCTGTTAGCACAATACAATCCTGCTTTGCAACAGTAGAACTCTTGCCAACACCTGGTGGACTGTTCTCAGATTTTGCAGGTTGGACAGAACTTCTTGACCTTGTTATTCTGCCAGAGTAAACATCATCACCCCTTGCCTTGCTCCGGCATTGTCCTCTTTCTTCCGAAGCATCATGCTCTAATCCTGATTTGTTAATGGATTCTGTGAGCACAATACCATCCTGCTTTGCAACAAAAAACTTTTTTCTGCACCTGTTGAACTATTCTCAAATTTTGGAGATTGAACAGAACTTCTTGACCTTGTGAAAACATCTTCACTCCTTGCTTTGCTCTGGCATTGTCCTCTTTCTTCAGTTTTCACGCCACAATATACAGTATTACAAACAGGTCTGACAAATTTTGACTCCAATAACTCATGAACATCGAGCTGTTGTCTTGATTTGCAGATGGATTCCGTTGGTACCGGACCATCCTGTTTAGCAACAGTAGAAGTGTTGCCTGCACCTGAAAGCCCACTCATAGACATGGAAGGTTGAGCAGAACTTCTTGATCTAGTGACTCGACCAGAGACAACCTTTTCATTCCTTTCCTTGCTCCTGCAGTCCACTCTTTTACCCTTTTCCACCTCATAACTCACAACATTATTCTTCTTAGCAACAAAAGAATTGTTGCATGTACCCAACGGCCCACTTTCATACTTGGAAGGATGGATAGAACTTCTCATTCTTGTGACTCTACCAGGGTAAACATTTTCACTCTTTCCCTTGCTACTGCATTTCCCTCTTTCTTCCTTTTCCAACTCATAAGTTGGAAGAATATCACTGGATCTGGTCAATTCCAACTTATTCACAATACCTGACTGTAAAGAAGCAACCTTGGATGCTTTGTTTTGATTGTTGCAAGAATTATCATTCTTCTCACAGCTTTCATTGTTTTTACATGCTTTTGCACTGTTTCTATGCTCTAAAGCCCGTTGCCTAGACTTAGATCTCTGGATTCTTGCCAGTGAAGAACAAAGATCAGGACAAATATCTGAGGTTATTCCATCTCTACAATCTTGAGGAGGAGATGTAACACTAGGATCCAGCTCATAAGCTTTACCAGAAAGGCACTGGTCTAAGCCATCATTTGAAGCATCAACTCGGGAACATAATATATGGGGTAACAGCACGTTATCAGTTGTAACAACTGGTTGTTGATACAGAGAACAGTAAGGAAATGAAGCCTGTGGATGTGGAAGTAGGAGTCCTGAGATAAGATTTTCTTTATCCAGCTCTGCAATTTAAAAGTAGACACTCCTTGTTTAAAAATTCCATTCAACTACTGTAAACGGATAACAGACAATTTGGAACGCTTGCAATATTGAGTTACAAAACTGAAATGCAATCAAGAATTCAAATGGAAAAAGGACTTTAAAACAAAAATTTTGGAAAGGGAAGGATTTTCTAGCTTTCAAGAGGCAAATTTTCGATAGTTAATTCAGGTTTATGTACTTAATTTTTTTTTAAAAAAAAAATCTTCAATACAATGAAACATTACATCAAACATTTTCTACAATAAAAAGAATTAAGCGTTAAAATCAAAACTCCGAAGTAATTAACAGGTAATATCAAGACATACTGATAAAAAAGTTTTTAGCGGAAATTTTCTTTTGAAAGATAAAAAAATAATACTACGCAAAAACAAAGACGTCATTGCTAAAGAGCACTTCACATTCATTATTCGTAATAATACATTAAAAACTGAAAGAACCGAGAGAATAAATTCGACAATTTCAATGAAGAAAAATCATTTCTAAGAATTAATTAGGAGACCGAAACTACATTCTCTAAGATACTGTAGAAATGAATAAAAAATGCACTTAAATTAACTTTCAAGAAAAAGGGGGAAAATGCGAAACATTAAGCGGAAGAAAAACAGAGAGGGAAGTAAATTACGAGAAGGAGCAGAGGAGATGAGCCAATGAGGTGGAACGAAGCCATCGATGAGACACTTGGAAGCGAGTTGGTGATCGAAGAGAAGGATTTGGTGCTTCACATGGTCGATTATTCGATTCTTCCTCTCGAAGATCTGAATCAAAGCTTTCTCAATCGTCGACATTTCTCTTCTTCTTCTTCTTCAACAGCATCGAGTTCCCATCTACCGTCAAAGGAAAATAAAGAAAAGAAAAACGGAGGTTTCGGATCGACTACTGATAGAGGGATCGAGACAAAGAGGAATAAGCCGCGTTTCTAGAATTTGAAATTCAAGGGTGAATTTGATAATTTGACTGTTCAGTGGCACAATATTCTTAACTTTGAGGTCGTGGGATCAAGTCCCACGGAGGGCATTTCATAATTCAGAGGTCTCTTACGGAAGTTACTCTCAATCTGGTGTTAGGGTTAGCCTACTATCTTACCTCCCCTTACCTCATACATATTGGAAAAAGGAACAACCATTTTTTGACTGTTCAGTGGCAAAAAAAAAAGGTTCTATAATGAAAACGGTGCCGTTGCAATTGTGCCTTACATTATTAACGAGAGTTAATGGCTTTATTTGAAATTTGGTCCCTCAACCATCAATTTATTCTCAGTTAATAAAACACGCACACATACAACACGAGTTAATTAAAAAAACTGACACCTGATATATTCTTATCAGGCGTTGACCGAGGTGGACCTGCATCGGCCGTTAGTATGTAAGCAGAAAATTATACTTGCACCTCTTGACTCGAATGGATCAGGGACTGATTTACTAAGTCTTCCGGTCCGTCTAAACAAGTTAAGCTTCTACACCACCTCTTTCATAAATTTGACAGGTGGCGTGCCAGGCGGCAAAAGACCCGTAATGGAAGAAAAGAGATGAAACATCCAAGCAAACCCTGTAGATTGAGCCTTATAAGTGTCTTTACTCTCTACAATCCCGTAATAATTCACTGATTGTCACATTCTTTCCCCCCTTAACTAATTCAATCGCTTTCTGCTTCTTCTTTTTCTGAAAGTCATCAAACTTTTCTCTCTGGTCAAGGAAAAAAAGATGTGTTCATCATTTTTCATCCTCGTGACACTTTGGGTATCTGTCTTAGGGGAGGATCCTAGTGCAGTGTTGCCATCATCACCAACTGATCTTTGCTTGAATGGTACATTATGTGAACATCACTGTCATCCCCTCCCACCTCCTCCTCCTGTTGCTGGTTTTTCTTCATAAACACCTCCATCTTTTTCAGGCTATCCTGCATATGGAGCTCCACCGCCGCCGCCATCTCTTTCCACCTATCCTTCATATGGAGCACCGCCGCCGCCGTCACGTCCGGTTCAATCCAACTGTCCACCTCCTCCAGTTCAGTGTTTCCAGTACCCCAACACTCCAAATCCTAACGAATACTACCATCCTATTGATGACAACCACTCATCACCACTCCTGGTTCACCCCTTTCAAGCTTTGCCGTTGTAATTATACTGTTATTGTCATTTGCTGGTTCATTCTAGCTCTGCTCTATGCACAGCTAATTTATCTTATTTTGCTGTGTTCACAAGCACGGACACAACTATCTCTAAGAAAATAATTGTACTTCGTTGTTTGTTGGTAATAAAAGTGGTTTATTTTTATTACATGGCCCTTTTTGAGCAAGAAATACCGTTCATGTATCCTGGTAATAAAATTGTTATAAAAATTATTAATTGTCATCACATAAACATACTAACATATGTAATAATATATGGTATAAACGGTAATAAAATGGTTTGAGTTGGTAATCCTTTCCTTTCCACGATGCTGATGCTTTATTTCTATAATCTTATCATAAATACTTACCCAAAGAACAAATTATAATCAAAATGTAACCACACTGGAGACAAGTGATAGGCTAGCCCATAAAGGCATCACTTAGTAACTAGAAAACTTACAGCAAGAAAAACACAAACAAACAGCTCAATACAGCAGCAGCAGCAAACCTGTCAGCCCCCAAAATTGTACCAGCATTCTCATCATCAGCTACCTGATCATCAGGGTCATTGTCCGGCGAGTCAGCTGGCGAGTCTGCATCTGCTGTTGGTGCTGCCTTAGACTTAGACTTGGACTTGGATACCTTTGGTGAATCTGCTGCCTCCTCGGGGCCAGGGGCAGGGGCCGGAGCTGGGCTAAGAGCTGATGCCTTGAACAACTCTTTAGGCATCAAGACTTTATTGATCGTATAAATTGCTACGGGCCCCTCATCGAGCAGTGTCCCTGTTATTTTGACGGTGCTGATCCTGGTCTTTAGTGTCACATCTTCACCCTCATTTTGCACGGTGAAATCGTAGTTGCTGGCTCCGTCGGTAGCCAATGTGTTCATGAGTCCGTTGTTGGATCTCAACATGGACATAGACTGGTACACTGGCACACCAAAGAATTCGAGGAATGATTCTTGCTTAGACGCTGTCAAGTTCTTGAACTTTGGTAAAAAAGGCTTTACATGGATCATCCAGAGGGCAGAACACAGTCAATCCTCCATTAACATTCTCCTAGAGGCGAGCATCGTAACAACAGAATCATTACAAATCCATTCGGAGAATATGAAGTAAGAAACAAGCAAAATCTCGAAAATTTTAAATACTACAACACGGTTCATGCAGATATCAAGTCACAAACTACGCATTGGGACAAGGTAAGAAACAATCCACACACTGCTTATAGGATAGTGTTAAATCTTGATCAATAACGTACATGCTCTAGGATGGTGTTAAACTTAAACACAAATCTAGATTAGACTTTGTCCATAAATTAGCCAACTAAAATTCCACCATCATCACTCAATCAAACTTCTAAAAATGAATTCTTTTCTAGTTTCTACCCTTCTTTCACTATATTGGTTTATAAGAGAATCAAAGAACAAACTTTCAGCTTACCTCATACGTTCCCATGGCTTCAGGATTTGCCAAAAGAGTATCAGCAAACACTTTACATCCATGTGCAGACATAATGTCAGTAATATTCAGCTCATTTGGCCCTGGAGCAGGAGCTTCAGCCACAGCAGAAGGCAAAGCCTTGTTGATCTGAATCACGGATATATTATAAGGAAGTTCCTCAACAGATTTAACAAAAAAGGAATCCAGATTCCCACCATTGTCTTCAGCTCCAAAACCAACTTTCCCACCTTTAAAATCAGTTATATTAACAAACCCAGAATTCCCAGGAGCCACCCCAGTAGCTTGGAACATAGTGGCAGCCAGTGCAGTGCCATTACTTATTTGGTGAAGCTTCCTGGCACCGAAGTAGTCGAGGAGGACATGGAGTGAAAGTATGTTTTTGACGGTATACATGGAAGGGTTTTTGGCTAAGAGGGAAGACATGGCATCGTTTTCCAAGGCAAGAACGGTGATGGTGGTGCGGCGGTTGATCTCTGGAGCCAAGTGTGTGAGTGTGAGGTAATGGTTGAATTTTGATAAAGATGGGTGTTTTGCTATCAGGAGGGTAATGTTGTGGGCATTTGAGGTTTGGAAGAGGAGAACAAGAGAGAAAATGAGAAGAACAAGATGCTGCCTCTGCCCCATCATTTTTGTTTGTCTTCTCTTCTCTTCTCTTCTCTTCTGGGTTCTGAGCAGTATTTGTAGAGGAAGAAAAGTAGAGAGCTTTGAGATTGTAGAAGGAGCTTGGAATGTGGTTAAATTATAGGGTAAAGTACACAAATAATCCCCTGATTATAGGATATTACTTTTTTGAGTCCTCAACTATTAAAATTTATAAAATAATCACCTAATAATTCATATATTTCAAACTCGTCTTCCTCCGTTAAAATAAATTTACAGTCATCTGAGATTATTTAGATGTTAATCTTTTGATTGAGATATAACATTTTAATAAAAAATAAGTTTGGAATATATGAACAGTTAGATAATTATTTTATAATTTTTAATAGTAAGAGAACTCAACAAAGTAATAATTTATAGTTGGAGGATCATTTATGTACTTTACCCTAAATTACAATGGGAGCCAGTATGGTTCTGAGTGAGTTTGGGTTGGAAAAGTTTCTAATGGAAAATTTTGGCAGCATTTCTTATTTAAGAAAAGTTTCTCATTTAAGAAAATAAATTGAAACAAATTTCCTATTTAAGTGATAGAAATTTTGGTAAAATAACTTTCATAAAATATTAAAATTAATAAAATTTTATATAACAAATTTATATTATTTGAGATAATATGAATAAAAAACTCATTATGTTACCAATAATCAGTTAGTCTAGTCGGATGAGCACTAGATCCCTTAAGTAATATAAAGGGTTTTAATTTTGACTTTCGCAAACGGAATAAATTGGGTTGAGATGATCACCTTCACCTCTGTAGTATCTGATTTATTTTAGTTAATTAATAGATCGAAAACCGATGTCTACACATTTTGTTTTATCATTTTATCATCACAATTGGATTGACCAATTTATAATTTGTAGTTGACTGTTAGACAACAAATTAATGTCTTTATATTCATATTAATTTATAATATGGAGCTGTTGACTATTAAACAACAGTCAATATCTTTTGGACTCATATTTGGGATAATTTAATAAATAATTCATGTTCTACATATTTTATCTTTTTCCTTATTAAAAAATTGTATTTGTATTTATGATTGAGTTATCTATTTGTATAACATTTAACATAAAGTTTAATTATCTTTTATGTCATCGAAATTATCAAGTCGGTTAAAAATCTATCACCCGGTGATTGCTTAACATTTAACATTGTTGAACCACTTTTAATAATATTTTGATATAATAATTTAAGGTAAAATATTTTTAGACTTAAATTGAATTTATTCAAAGTTTTTTAAAAATAATTCAATGTCCATTAAAAGTGAATTTGATCACAAAACTGATTTTCACGTACGTAGTACCAATACTGTTCTTACAGTATCGATACTATATGAATTGTATCGATATTGTTAATGTTGTACCGATACCCAAGGTAAGTTAAGTATCAATACTCTCTAGGTAGTATCGATACTACCAACATTGCTCTAATTCCATAATGCAAAAATTGTATCAATACCCAAAGAGGTACCGATATTACTTTACATAGTAGTATCAATACCATAGGCTTAGTATCGATACCGTCAGGCCCAACGGCTAGTTTCATTTAAAAATATAAAGGAAGTACAGATACTCTCTATAGGAGTATCGATACCTCTGTTCTAGACAGTTTTGTTTTGTAGAGAAAAAACATCCCTAACAGCTCTAAATGACTCTCAACAGCTAGAAACGGCCGCAACTTCTTTCTAACATATAAATACAAGTTGAGGATACTTGAAGAAGGGTTAGAACATATATTCAAGCAATCAAACACAAGATAAGAGTTTTCACTTTTTACTTCTATTCTCTTGTACATATTAGTGTTTAGTGAGCTTTGATTTGTAAACACCCAACCTTTAAGAGATTTTATTTGTTTACTTCTTTTCCTTTTGTAAAGGGGATTAGTTTTAGTTTAGCCAATTGAAAAAATAGGGAGTTTGTAAATGTTACTCTTGATCCTTTAAAAAAAGAACAAATTAGTGAATTTGTTGGAAATCCTTAGTGAGGAGCTAAGGTAGTGGAGGTAGACTTAGTTGAGAAGTCGAACCATTATAAATCGCTGTGCAAAATTATCTATCTTTTATTTCTCCTTACTCCCTAAACACAATTTACCAATTCACCCCTCCTTGTATATTTTTCGATTATCAATTAGAGCTTAAAAAATCCTAACGATTGGTATCAGAGCTTGACTCGTTATAATGTTTCACATCATTGAGACGATACTCGAACATTGCGTTTGAATACTAGATTATTCAAAATGGATGTGGTTTATGAACGTAAAATTTGGTTGATAATGCAATAGAAAAATAAGTTTATTAGTAGGAGAGAATAATTTTCTCAAGTGTGATTGTTATGATGTATATTGAAAGATGTTCGGACGATACGTCTTTAGAAAGACGTTCGGATGATACGACGTATTTAAGAAGACGTCCGGATGATACAATGTATGTTTCCTAGTTATATACATGTTCGAAAGTTTCTTGTATGGCTATCTTCCTTTACGTCGCCCAAGCTATGTAGAAAACTCCTCGTAATCTATGCGCAATAATGGATCCACCCTTATCGCAGGATGAACATGTGCCTACTATAAAATTCAAATTTTCTTAGGTTAATTATTTATTTTATTGATTGTATTCATCTTGAAGTTTTACTTGTACACACCTCATACAAAAAAAAATTATGTTATTAATGAAAGTATGACCACCCTCAAACAAGAACGAAATAGGATGAAATTATGGAAGAGATCAAGTTGCTTATCTTTGAAACTAACAATATTCTAAAAGATAATTAAACCAAAGAAATAGAGGATTAATACTTAATTTCATTAATTTTAAAATTTTTATATCATAAAAGGTAATTAAATCAGAAAAATTAGAAACAAAACTTAATTTCATTTAGTTTTAAAATTGATAAACTCTTAAAAATAATTAAACTAATTTTTTTTGAAAAAAAATCAAAACTTATTTTTAATAGTTTCAAACCTTTCAAAAGGTTAAAATACAATTAAATCATAAAAATTAGGATAGTTCATATACTCTTTCCACTCACGTGGTTCCCTTGCTCCATATGTCTTCATCATTTTACTGTTTAAAATATACTACTTAAAAAAATAATTATTTGTGTGTAATGGTTTTCCACCTCGTTATCGGTTTATGCGTTATCTGAAAATTTCTGCCCCTTTAGCTGTCTTAAACAAAAAAAATTAAATATTGTCCACAAAATTTATAAAAAACAATTAAATACATAAAAAATTTATTTATTGTCAAACAATACAGGATAATGGAATATAATGTGCAAATTAAAACTTTAAATTTGAATCTAAAATATGAAATCTAAAGAAGAAAGGCGGACCCAATAACCAAACCGACTGTTATACTCAAGCCTACTTCATAACCTGATCTTGACCCCGACTCATCATTAACAGCAGGACCCTCCGCACTCTCCCGCGACGAACCCACCGGAGCGGAAATCGGTGGGCTACTGCTGGATGGGAAAATCGCAGGAGACTCTGCTGGCGTCGATGAACTAGAAGGAATATTAGCAGAAGACTCTGGAGTTGCAGCAGGACCTTCCGCAACAGATGGAGCCCCGACTGGAGTTATCATAGGAGGAGAACTTGCAGGTGTCAATGAGGGAGCACTTGCCGGAGGTGTAGCCACTGGTGATTGAACCGGGGGCTTGAAGAACCAGGGGGAGTGGCAATGGGTGATTGAACAGATGGGGGCGTAGCAGTGGGAGTTGCTGCAGGCGATATCGATGGAGAACTCACAGGAGTTGCGGACGGAGGTGACGATGTCGTGGGAGGGGATGAAGAAGCATTGGGAGGTTTGGCCGGAGATAGAGGAGTTGCCTTTGGCGATGGAGAAGGTGCATTAGCAGCTTGTGCTGCGATCTCAGAAACAGAAACAAAAAGAACCAAAATCGAAACAAGAATGATTTTGGTCATTTTTTGCTCTTTCTAATCCTTTACGATTATTTTCTTTGAGATGGTTTCGCTTTTTGAGTTGAAAAAGGGGGAAGATAGAGATTTATAAAAGGAAAGAGTTAGAAAATGGCAGGAAATTGATTGGTAAATTTGACCGTTGCCTTGAAGGGATTGTATAACGTTTTAAGCCTCGTTTCTAGGAGCTGTTCTAAAAGGTCATATAGCCGTTATTTGCTTTGGAATAAGTAGACATAAGAGTGGGTCCGACTGCGTTTTTGTCCGATGTTAATAAAATTTGATTTTAATTTAAGTATAATATAATTTATTTAAAATTTGATTTAAAATTTTAATTAATACTTTACATTTAAGATTTAGAATTTAGGGTTATACAAATTAATATTTATTAAAAATTAAAGTAAATTATTCCATATATTGTTGAATTTTATCATTTGACTCGTTTTATATGGCTGAACTTTAAATTTTATCAATTATAACATTAAACTTTAATTTTACATTCAATTATATCTCTCTGTCATTAAATCACTAATGGAACGATAATATGATTTGCCACATCAAAATACGTTTCTTTTGGCGACAACTATTGATACCTAAAACGACATCATTTTAAGCACTAAACTTTAAGAATGTATCAACTTTGACACTAAATTTTTAAACACTTCGCTTTTTTGCATTATACTTTTTGGTCACTGTCGGTAGCGAATCACCACCCGTCATTAATCATTTTCGCAGCAAGATTTGTAGCAAAATGTTCGCATTTCACTCATCTTTCTTCTCATTAAATTAATTTTTCACGAAACTCACTCAAAATCGACAAAAATCCATTTAATAGTTTAACATATAAATACTTCAATCTCTTTCAAAGATTGTCTAATGAAACTAATTTTGAGGTATGTTGTTCGTATTCTCGAAATAATACTTTCCACCATTTGATTTTTTGAACAAACATTAAAAAAATCATAATCTAAGAAAGTCTTTAAACATCTAAAAAATGGTCGATTTTGAGTGAATTTCGTGCAAAATTAATCATATGAGAATTATGAGTGAAATGAGAACGTTTTAGTACCGATTTTACTACAAAAGATGAGAGGTGATTTGCTACCGATGACGGTTGGAAAGTGCAATGTCAAAAATGTGAAATGTTTAAAAGTTTACTGATAAAATCGTTACACATCTAAAGTTTAATGGTAAAATCGTTACACATCTAAAGTTCAATGTCTAAAATAACATCATTTTAAACATTAATACCTAAAATAACATCGTTTTAAACACACCATTTAAAAATATTTTACAAAACAAATTAAAATTTATTTCTAAATCAGTAGATTGTAATTCATTAATAAACTTTTATGTCCTATACAACAAAAACTCTAAAATTTAACAATAAAATGTAAAACAAAAGAATTAAAAGAAAAAGAAACATACCCAAATCTCAACCAAAGACTTGAACAACAGATAACCCCTCAAGGATTTTAAATTTAAGTACATTGTTTGTAAAAATATTTGAACATGTATGTATTGTTAAATTATTAATTTTTTCAAATAATATTATTTTATAATCATTATTAATTTATAAAAAATTGTAAATGTAAAAATGTAGATAATCCATAAACACAACTCAAAATAACTTATAAGATAATAGAATTATGAATAATTTATAGAGTGCACCTCACAATCATCACAATAAAACATAAACCTAATGTTATGTACTTTTACCGCAAACCACAGCCCTAAAGTATAAGTTCTCCATGTTGTAGACGCATAACAAGGGCCTGAAACTGCTTATACATTCTCCCCCACCGTACACGTGTCCTTGCTAATAAATACGAGGGTCCTATCATAATCAGCTTTTCCTCGCCCAAAATTGTCCCGATAGATTTACTACAGCTCCGATTGCCCAAAGTCACCAAAAGCTTACACCTGTACCCAGTGATGACCTAACCCGGCCACCCGAAATCGAGTAGGACTGAAATTTAACAAAGTTATAAAACTCATCACGATCATACACGTGTCGAGTGATGATGATTATGATGACGCATGAAGAACTACTTCGGCCCACCTTTACCCAACCTACCACCCATCCGATGGAACTCGGCAGAACCATACACGTGTCCTTGATGCTGATGTACCATCATCTCATACACCCCACAACCACCATCGACGCCTCCACCACCGCCATCAAGAGGAGCGTCTTTATCACGTGCAACCGAAGTCTTCTCCCCTTCCATCTCCCGAAACCGTTGCAAGTAAACCTTCAAGGGCTCCACGTAGTCTTCGAACCCTAACGTTGTCATGGCCCACAGGAGATCATCGCCGTTGATGGTCTTCCTCTTCTCTCTCTGACACTTATCGGTGGCTTCTCCGGTGATGAAGCTGATGAACTCCGACACGCATTCTTGCACCGTTTCTTTAGCTTCTTTTGATACCTTGGCGTTGGCGGGCAAAGCCTTTTTCATGATCCTACCAACGTTGGCGATGGGCAAGAGCCTGTCTTGTTCTTTCGGTGACGAAAGGTGGTAGTTGTTTCCTCCTGCGTTTAAAGCGCTGTTTTGAGTTCCTCCCGATTCTATGTCGGAGTCCGCCATGACTGGAAGGGTTTTTTGATGCTTATGGTGTAGAGCTTTTGGACAGAAAGTAGGAGCTTTATGTAGATTTTATGGTTGACAAAAGCGAAGGTTGTTGTAATGGTAAATTAGGACCAAACTGATAAGAAAAGGTTATTTGGAGTTCACCTTTTCCTAGAACGACACATTGACACTTGGCACTTTGATATTTTAATATTATAGATTAATTATAGAATAAAAAAATAATTAAATAATACTCAATTTTACAACCGCACTTGTCAGTCATCTGACTCATCTTTGTTCGTGAAGGGTTATTGAAAGTGGACATCGAGAAACCTAGGATGATGCGATGCATGTGGGATTAATTAAGTTGTAATAAAAATATCAAAAATATTTAATAAAAAATAATTTTTTATATCACAAGTCATATTCAAAGCAAGCTGTCGCAACCGTCTTTCGGTTGGGTCCCGGAATTGGGCTTCGACTTAGATTAGATGGATTGGAGTCGCCACCGATCTTTTATTTTAAAACAAATAGGTAGACCAGATACCTTATTTCTTACCTGATCTGCGTTTTACCAGAGACATGTCGGATTCGGGAGTCGGTTACAGTCAAGGAAGGGTTAGCACCCTTGAACTGCCCTTTCGGTACTACGTAATTTCCAGTTGTTTTAAATTAAGAAAATTGTAAGTTTAAATTAAAAGGTAAAATTTGACCTTGATTACTTACCTCTGATTGTTTTAAAAAACACCCTTGAAAAGTCAAGAAACACGTTAGATATAAAAAAAGATAAAACATAACAAAAATGAAGATGTGCATAGTATTAAATAAAAATAATAATAGAAAAATAAGAAATATATATAGAAACGTATAGAACAAAATATAATAACAAAAAATATACGTAGTAACTAAATAATAATAATACATCTCTACTTATACATATAAATAATGACATAATATATATATATATAAGAAAAAATTTAATATAATATAAATAATTTGAAACAAAAATAAAGAAATATTGTAAATGAAAAGAAAATTATACTTAAATATATATATATATATATATATAATATTAATATAATAAAATAATAAAGGTAAGAAAAGAAAAAATATATATACATGTGTAAATAAACACTAGGAAGACAAAATAAATAAAAAAGAATATATATACATGAGAAAATAATAATAATAAAATAATAGTAAACATAAAAAAAATGTGTATATATAATAACGTGAAAGTAAATAAATATAATAAAAAATATACAATAAATAAAATGAGGGAAAAAAGTTGGATTTCAAAAAGTGACTAAATCGAAAGAATCGAAACGTGAAGATCCAATTTTGAAGAGAAAATATTGATTTTGGGGGGCAATTAAATACTTTAAAAACATAGGGGACCAAGAGTGAGATTACCCTTTTTTCACACCCATTCCGAAAATCAAAGTATTTTCTCAAGAAAAGAAGCCTCGGGGGCTAGATCTATAAAAATAGATCCCGAAAAATGCCCCTGTTCATCGGCAAAAAAAATCATTTTCTTTGGTGTTTTTCGAATACAAAATGTAACAAGACACAAGCATGCAAGTATAAACTCGAAAAAGATACTATATTTACCTTGTATTTCTCTTCGAAAATTTGCAGGAAAAAAACTCTAATTTCACTCTAAGATTGTTCGTAATTTCTGCTTATATTTCGTATCACAATCCGTGTCTTCCAAATGGGGAGGATTACATGTATTTATAGTGAAAAAAACTAATTATTCTTAGAATCCCATCAACAATAGAATCCTAATGTAACTAGACTCCTTGCCCGGTTGTTGCACGTTTGTTGGTGTAGTTGTTGATTTAAAAGATATGGTGGTGGAAGAGTCCCTTAGGAGAGAAACTCTTGCTAGTTATATCTTTTAAGAAAATAGGTGTCTACAGCTGCCCCTCTTTGTCCTTTTTCGTGGAACAAAAAATAGGACAAAGATAAAAAGACACAAATTTTCGTTCAGTGGAGTCGAAGAATAACTCCATGTCGAATTGAGTTGCGGATGGCTCCTCCGTCGCGAAGTCGAATCCATCTTGAAATGATTTGTCAATATGAAATGACCCCCTTGTCGTGCGATTGAGTCAAAACTGGAAAATTCTGAGCCTGAAATCCTTCGTCGTGAAGTTGAAATCGAACTCAGAGTACTGGAAGTAGCTCATGGATTGTCTTCTAGCCAAAGATACTTCGTTGTGAAGCTGAAACTCGTCTTGAAGACTTTGGTGTTGTGGTGTTACAGATGAAGTTGTGTCAATCTGTTCGTGAATTTGAAATCGTATAGGGCCCCTTCGTCGTGAAGTTGAGCCTGAGAATTGGATATCCTTCGTCGTGAAGTTGAAATCCGATGCAGGTCCTGCTGTTCCGAGTCCAATATCTTCTGTCGTGAAAGTTGAAGTTGGTTCTGGAACTGGGAAATTGTTTTGTTGACAGTCAGCCGTCCCTTCATTGTGAAGTTGAACTTGTGCTGTCTCGAGTCCAATGCCCTTCAATGTGAAGTTGAAATTGGCTCCGAAATTGGGAAATTGTTTGTTGACAACCAGCCGTCCCTTCGTTGTGAAGTTGAACTTGTGTTGTCTTGAGTCCAATATCCTTCGCTGTGAAGTTGAAATTGGCTCTAGCTAAAACCTGAAAAAGTTATGTATATATGTGATGAGATGGATGCAATGCTCTTAGGTATGCCTAAAATGCATATGCAACATATGTTATTTTTTGGGCTCAGGAGAGAAATCTCGATCTCCGGTTGCTTCTCTGGAATCTTAGTTCTGGAATCTTCAAGTTCTGATCCCTGATCTCGAATTCTTCAAATGTTCAAATCTGATGTGCACATTCTATTTTTTGATTTGAGAAATGCTTCTCGACCATCCCAAGTATGTGCCTGAGCTGAGTGTAACGGTTTAAATGATGCTTCAAGAGAAGTTGTCTTAAAAAAGACAGAATTCGTTTCAAGGGAAACGATCTTAAAGATATATGTTGTTTCATGAGAAACGGCCTCAAGGGAGACAAAATTTTGTTTTAAGGGAAATAAACTCAAAGATTTTGTGTTTCAAGAGAAACTGTCTTAAGGGAGACGAAATTTGTTTCAAGGGAAACAATCTCAAAGGTTTTGTGTTTCAAGAGAAACATTTTCAAAGGTTTTTTTGTGTTTCAAGAGAAACAATTTCAAAGATTTCTTTTTGTGTTTCAAGAGAAACTGTATCAAGGGTGACACAAAAAAACATATTCAAGGATTGATGTTTCAAGAGAAACTGTCTCAAGGGAGACAAAATTTTGTTTTAAGAAAAACATGTCTTAAGAGAGACAAAATTTGTTTCAAGAGAAACTGTCTCAAGAGAGACGAAATTTGTTTAATGTAAAACATATTCAAAGATTTTGTTTCAAGGGAAACTGTTTTCAGAGTTTATGTTTCAATAGAAACTATCTCAATGGAGACAAAATTTGTTTCAAGGGAAACTATCTCAAGAGAGACAAAATTCATTTCAAGGGAAATGTTTTCAATGTTTATGTTTCAAGAGAAATTGTCTCAAGGGAGACAAAATTTTGTTTCAAGGGAAACTATCTCAAGAGAGACAATTTATTTCAAGGGAAATGCTTTCAATGTTTATGTTTCAAGAGAAACTGTCTCAAGGGAGACAAAATTTTGTTCCAAGGGAAATGTTTTCAATGTTTATGTTTCAAGAGAAACTGTCTCAAGGGAGACAAAATTTTGTTTCAAGGGAAACTATCTCAAGAGAGACAAAATTCATTTCAAGGGAAATGTTTTCAATGTTTATGTTTAAAGAGAAACTGTCTCAAGTGAGACAAAACTTTCTGTTTCGAGGGAAACTATCTCAAGCGAGATAAAATCTTGTTTTAAGAAAAACAATCTTGAGGGAAATAAATATTCTTTCGAGTAAAACAGTCTTAAGTGAGACAAAGTCTGTTCTAAGAAAAACAATCTCAAGTGAGATAATCATCTGCATTAAATGAGACTGTCTTAAGCAAGACAATCTCATCTTCTCCTAAAAGATCTGTAAAATGTATCGGGATGTAACTATCATGATGATGGATGTTTGATGTATGCCAAGATGAAATTTATTTACTGTTGAATTTGCCCTCAAGAGAGGAAAAAAATCAAGGTTTTTATTGCTCATGATGATGAATGCAAATATGCAAATTTCATACATCATGTATGTACATGTTGATGTATATGTTGAGATGTGAGGGGAATGGTTGCGTGTGTAGTCTTCATCCTATCTCTGACTCAGTTTGTCTTCATTTCCACCAGGGTGTACTCTTGCAGACCTCAAGACAATTTTTTCTTCCCCTATCAAATTTTGCCCCAAAAATGGTTTCCTTTGCCTCATTTTCGATCTTGAGCTTCGGAGCGATTATTTGTTGAATTCTAAGATATGCTTCCAGAGAACTTATCTGTTTGAAAATGCTTTTCTTCTTTCGAATTTTCAAAATTTTGAAAAATATCAAAAGGAACTTTTTGAAAATGTTACCTCTTTCTAGGTTTCACAATTGAAGCAAATCATAAAACATGAGTTCATTGGATATCAAAAGAATCAAACACTCTTTTAATCTTTGATAGCTGCAAATCTTTGACAAATATCAAGATCGAAAAGTTGGTTTAGAGGTGGGTTTGTTTCATCGATTTGGTTATCGTGAAGATCATGGCATGCCCCTTTTTCTTGATTTGGTATTTTGATCGGAGGCGAACAAAATGACACAACTAGCATAATCAATGACTAGACCTTTCAGAACACTTCTGTTTCAGTTCTCTGAAATCTTCCATTTGTTCAAGTTTCGTAAGCTCTTCTAACAAAGGTAGTGCAGAAATATCGGTCTAAAAATGAAATTCTTGAGTGCTCGTGTGAATTTGACTATAACAGGTGTTTCTCAACTCCCTTAGTCTATTATTACCGAAAATTTCTTTTTTAGATAAATTTGATTTATTTTGCCATTGTCTGGCTAGCCGAATCCATAAAGTCGGGGCGTTCAACCAATTGCTTTAGAGGGACATCTTATTA